CTCTGATGTTTTGGAGGTCCATGTTTGTTCTGCTTCTATTTTGTAATGTTTCAGGGTCTTTTTAACTCGAATACTGTTCGTTATCTCATATGTCTTTGTATATCGGAATATTGTTGAATACATATTACGAATTTTCATGTAAGTTGAATACATTGAATTATAGATGAAATTATAAGGGACAGTGATGTTGAGATGATGAGATGTCTGATTGACAATATATATACATGTTGTCATTGTACTTCAGGACTGCCAGCAAATTGTTAGAATTTTCATAAACACAGTAGTAAAACTGTGTCTATAACTGATCGAACTTTTTAAGCAGAATGTTCTCAAAAACTGATTCTTGATACGTGTTGTGGTCTTCAAAGTGATAGTTAAATAAATTTCGACATTATCAATGTTTATTTGTCATTTTTCACTGAAATTGACAGAACCCGGTTTTTAATTTGATATTTTTTACTTAAGATAGAGATTAAGGGCAAATTTACAATTGAGCGTTTCTGTGTACGATCAATCCGAAAATCAACGCAGATTATAGAATTATGTACTTACAATGTTGATGTAACAGGGGTCTCGCCAATTATTTGAATTTTTTTAGTGGTACAATAACCTTGTTTGTAAATTATGCAACCTGTCGTTAGGTCGAATATCAACTGACGTATAAATACAAAATGCTTGGTCATTATTTTCTTTTGTTTACAGATAACACCCTATTGATGATATATACTGACACGCAAAAGAAACGCAACATCTTATTTTAAAGGTTTAAAAAATCAATAGGGCATAACAGCACAGAAAAAATTAGGACATCTTCAATTTTTCCTAGTTGATAATTTAACGGCTGAATGAATTTTATCCAGTGGCAATACCAAAATTTCATGGTTTACAAAAATATTTGGCTATTATTTGTGTTTAAAAGAGCTTGTATATCTGTTCATCATATTAAGTATTGCAGCAATATTCCGAGAGTTAATCTCTTTCCCAAAGTGATGCCAAGACTCCTCGAAATGCATGAAGGCACATATCTAGAAATTCTGAAAATAAAGGTGATAGAGAGTCGCAGGTGCAAATGTATACTAGATAACCCCTCAACATGTTCAGACGTATCAAAAGCATGAATGGTTCGGAATTGAAAGGCTGCTATCATTGGCGTCGGAAGCAAATTAAAAGTTGGGGGGGGGGGGGGGCTAAGTGTAAGAGAAAAAAAATTCAAACCGAAATAAATTGACAAGCAAAAATGAAAAAAAGTTAAATCCGTCTATTCCCCAAACACGAAAATCCTATTTCGTTTTTTTTTTTTTTTTTTTTTTTTTTTCGGGGGGGGGGGGGGGGGGGGGGGGTTAGAATCTTACTTCTTCCATACCATTTTTTTAAAAAACAAACAGTACCACTTACCTTTTGGGACCTAAACTGCACCCTCATGGCATCTGATCCCATTATGATTACTAATGTTTGGAGGTCCGTGTTTCCTCTTCTCCCGATTTGTAATGTTTACATGGACTCGGTGCTTATTTTGAGCGTCAAAATATACGTAGGCGGACTTAACCTATTAGCTAAAAGAAATTGAATATCCTATATCTATCTAAGGCGCAAACTGAATAAAGAAAGAAAACCTCAAAAGTGAAAAATAAACATAATTCTGAAAAATGCAACTGACTGTTTTACATAAACAACTTAATTTTAGTAGACATTAAGGCCACATTGAAGGTCAGACAACACGTTCCTCAAAAATATATAAAAATATATAATTTTTCCTAAGAATTTGTCAATGAAGTATAGGTACTAAAAGAAGTTTCCTAACAAAAAATTAAGATACCTTACCAGGCATTTGTACAAGATACCACAGGGTCATATGTCTTATATAACCCTTATGCATAATCTTCTGAATGGCCTATATCACAATTTTTGGTTTACTTACATTTAAGGGGGCCGACTATAGTTTTATTGTGAGAAAACTACAATAGCGAAACTCTTTATTTTTATACCATATATAACTTACATTAACTTCAGTGTACATGCAAAGTTTGGGGGAAATCTACCTTCCAGGTATTTTTAAGGGACCGTCTCAAAATTCGGGTACATTTACTATAGAATTATATAGGAAAATGCCAATTTTTAGCACTTTAAAGCAAATTATACAAATACTACAATAGACATTTCGTTCAAACTATAATATTTGATGAGTAATACTATATTATACAATATATGTAAGAAACACAAAATTCTACCGTCTTGTTACCAGAGGGGGCATCTCAAAATGCAAAAAAGTTAGCAAATTTTACTATTTTTTAGGGATGTCAACGAGTACCCGGTTAACCGGGTACTCGATCGAACGTCCGAGTATCGAATACTAAAATCGGTACTCGGTTACTCGGATGTATATTTTTAAATATTTCTGAGCTTATATATTTATCAATGCATTAAAACATCGATTTTAAAACGTAAAATGTTCTTTGCACTTGTACATACAGTAATTAGGGTTTCCTAAATGACCGTTATCGCCCGTGGCAGTGTTCATACAGTAATTACCGTGACCAAACACCTGATGTGCCTACCTGGCTTTTCTCACCTTCGACTGTCTTCTACCCTTCGACTGTCTTCTACCCTTATGTTTAGTTTGCTTTAATTATTTGTTTTCATTGAACATCGTTTAAGGTCCATTGTATTTAAATAAATTAAATAATTTTGTCAATTCTCCAAGAAGCCGTAAATTCTCGGGGAAAGAGACAGACGATATTGCACATGCGATTGTTGATATGCGTTTGATTACATGCTAATTAATGCAAATGGTTGAAAGCAAATGCTTTAAAAATGTTATGTCCATCGTTGCTCCAAACTAAAACATACTGTATCGTAATTTTATGAAATCTCGGATCAAAAAGTGTACGAAGATCGTATAAATCCTCTCTGTTGTAGGATTACTTGATCAAGTTTATACCGTACATGTAGCTCTGACAACTTATCACTTGGACGTCAAAGGCATCAAAGACTTACATATACAATTACGGAACAGAACTGATTATTTTGAAACAAAAACACTGTGAACAATTTATGATTTTATTTCTCGTATTTATCTGATAAATAAATTGAACTTAAAAAGAATTTCGTCGCGTACAAAGTGGTCATAATTATTATAACGCATTTGCAGGTAACCTCCCATCGGTTTTATTTCTACAAGAGTTTACCATGTTTTACAGTTATCAATTAACTTGTTCCTATTCATTTACACTTTACCGAGTACCCGGGTACTCGATCGGAAAAACGTCCGAGTAACCGAGTAATAAAAATTGACCGATTTGACATCCCTACTATTTTTATAGAGTACTAGAAAATATGACGTGAACAATGGATTCACAAGAAAAGATAATAAAAATATTCGAGATATTCTAGAATTTCTATGTTTTAAATTTCAAGAGCGTATGTTTATTACTTTTTCTGTAATAATATTTTTATTACCCCTGTCTTTAAGAGGTACAGATGAACATAACGTCAAAAAGACACTGCAGCGACGTCAACCTACCTATCAATTGCAAAATCGGTTAAATAATCCGTTATATCAGATTGTAATTACAATTTTATACCTATTATTTCTTAATTTTGTTTATTTTTAATAATTAAGCTAAAAAAGTTGCATTAAAACAGTAAATACGCTTCATTTTACTATGATGCGCGAAATATTGCGCAATGGAAACTATAGTCGGCCCCCTTAAAAACATTTTGAAAACAATGTAGTTATCAGGAGAGAATGACAAATATGAATAATTTTTGATATAATAATAACCAAGAGATACAAAACATACATTTGAGGAACGTGTCTTCTGACCTTAAAGTGTTGATTTACAATTATATATATTCAAAGTTTATTTGATAAAAGGATGGGGTGTATAGCAACCGCAAATGATAGAAATATCATTAAACGTTGCAAATGCAACGCGTATTGCCATAAATTATTGCTTTCATGGATGACATTCTCAACTGTTACATGTAATGCTAAATCGCCGCTTTGTGCAAGAACAAGAATTACACAATTTGGCGATTTATAATCTCAACTATTAAAGAAGTTATGTCATTGAGTGATGCAACGCTTAATGCAATTTCTATCAGTAAACTAAGTGGCGTTGTTTGTCACACTGAATTGACAATGGATTTTCCGTTATTTCACGATCATGACAAAGAGATCACGGCGGGTGTGAACAGTAGGAAAGGAATGCTCATTCCTCCAAGGCACCTGATCCCACCTCTGATGTTTCGGAGGTCCGTGATTGCCCTGCTCCTATTCTGTGCTGTTTATTAGACTTTTGGGCTTGAATACTGTTCGTTATCTCCATATTTATCATCTGTGGGTGCAACAAGGGTGTATGTTTTTCTGAGCACATATAAACCGTTCTATTATATAAAATTAAGTTTACGTGTACTCATTTGTAAGCTTATTATGACGGTGCAATAAAATTCATTAATTTTGAAATTCATTTTCAGCATTAGTATCGTTTTCCTTTCACTATGTTTTTTTCATATGCTACACTGTCATGCACATAATTCAATCTTATCAATAAAAAAAAAAATATTGAAATCAATCCACATTATTTTAAAAGCAAGAAAATTAATACCATAACAATTGTTACTCATCTTTCATTTTGTTTTTTTAATAATCCAAAAGACTATGCCAGATAAAAGTTATCTTCTCTCTTTTATTTGAAAACATGATATGGCAATTATCCGAAAATTCAACATCAATGAATATCCTCTTTCTATGCCTCACTTGATTGGATTTTACAATTAATATCATTGAAAGACGTTTAATTCATATTAATTGTTTTCCTAATGACTTTATTATATACAGTGAAACATGTTCTGGGAGAGAATAGAGAGATATCAGATTGCACAGTGCAAAGAGTATTTTCAAAAATAAAAATCGGACTTTAAGTCAGGTTCGAATTCACCGGGGAATTGATTAGGCCGCTTTCGGAATGGACAGCTTTCAATGTTTGTTTTTTTTTCAGTCAAAGTTTAAACGAGAATACCAGAAACTACTGCCGTACTGCTCATATTGCAAGCGTCAAGATCAAGATTTGGCGGACTATTCCGATGAAAGTGCCGGAAGTATCCGCAGATCGCAACTCGTGAGGACGCATACCTCCTCTCTAAAAACCGGAAGTTATCAACAAACAGTGCAGAATAGAAGAATAGTCAGCTTCAAAAGACCTTCTACAAACACTACTGAGTTGTAGCTCTCTCCTTATACAATAAAAATGTGTAAAAATAATTCAAATTTTGTTCAAAAAATGTACATTGCAATTTATGACATTATGATGTGAAAGAACATTATGTTCAAAATTTATCATACTGTATACCATTGAATTTTGCGATACTTTATTCTTGTGAGACAGATATTAAGCCAGACAAATATTTCATTAATCTTTAGTTAATTATTACGTAAAATCTATGAGATAATAATATTACACACAAGTATGACACGCCAAATTCACAAACATGAGCTAAACATAGTTTCACAGTCGATAAACTAGGTTTCTCGGTTGTAAACTATAGTTAACAACGTTAATATATATTCTAATCTGTAAACCATAGTTAATGAGATAATGTATGTTTCAGAACCGTAAACTATTCTTACACTGAAAACAATCACTTGCGATTGCAAAACATAGATTATCTGCTAAATACAGTTTCACGATTTGTAAACTATGGTTTACAACTCTTAACTCTTAACTATAGTTATCGATCTGTTAAATATGGTTTCACGATTTGTGAAACTATGATTAACAACTCTTAACTATAGTTCACGATTGTAAACTATAGTTTACAGACGTGAATTTATGTTAATCATCAAAATCTATTGTTAACGTTTTATTACTGACAGATAAACTCAGATATGCATTCGTAAACTATATAGTTAACAACCGTTAAATATAGTTTTACAGATGAAAACTATAGTTAACGAATTGTTAACTTTAGTTCACTATGGCACGCCAAATTCACAAAAATGAGATAAACCTAGTTTCACAATTGATAAACTAGGTTTATCGACTGTAAACTATCTTAACGGTCGTTAACTATAGTTTACGAATGCTAATCTAAGTTTATCTGTCTGAATAAAGCGTTAACAATAGATTTTGTTGATAAACATAGATTCACATTTGTAAACTATAGTTTACAATCGTAAACTATAGTTAAGAGTTGTTAATCATAGTTTCACAAATCGTGAAACTATATTTATCAGATCGTTAACTATAGTTAACGGTTTGTAAACTATAGTTTACAAATCGTGAAACTGTATTTATCAGATAATCTATGTTTTGCAATCGCAAATGATAGTTTTCGGTGTTAAGTATAGTTTACGGTTGTGAAACATAGATTATCGCATTAACTATAGTTTACAGATGTAAAATATAGATTAACGTTGTTAACTATAGTTTACAGTCCGTAAATTATAGTTTACAACCGATAAACCTAGTTTATCGATTGTGAAACTATGATTTGCTCATTTTTGTGAATTTGGCGTGCCATAGTTCACAGTTTGTAAACTATAGTTTACAGTCCATAAACCTAGTTATCAACTGTGAAACTATGTTTAGCTCATTTTTGTGAATTTGGCGTGCCATACAAAAGAATGAAATTTATAGGGATCAAATGATATCGTGTGTTTCCAGGAAAATAAAGCAAAATGATGCCACGGTATGTGTGTATAGAATTTAGAAGAATGTACAATGTCAAAAAATCGGATTTTATATTTTTGCTTCAGTCAATACCATGTACTATCAGGTGCAACATTTTTAACACGTGTGCGATAATATATTAAGGGTACTTGGACACAGATTTAAAGTTAATATTTTCTGTATAATATCACGAATTATATTATATAAATATAGCCCTTTGATGAGGTCGATCCATAGATATATCGACTTCACAGAAAAGCATATAGACCGAGCACGAAGTGCGAGGTCGATATGCTTTTCTGTGAAGTCGATATATCTATGGATTGACTGAATCAAAGGGCTACATTTGTTATATTATTTTCTTTGGCAAAAATAAAGCTTAAACAATTTTTTGGACCATTATAACATATTCAAACATTTTGTATTAACTAACAACAATTTTGAACACAAAAACTCATTTACTCTGTGTTAGTGTTTTTGCATAATGTTATAGTTTATGGTAACACTTGTGCAGTTGGTAAGGCTCAGGCCTGGAATCGGTACAAGCATGTTAGCTGACTGTAAGGTAGGTGGCTGTACCAAGGTGGTGTTAACCTGAGTTTTCTGTACTTGGACATTCTGTTCAAATTCAATAGAACGTAGGATATCATCAATTCCATCCGATTCATCAAATAAATCTTTCATAAGAACTTCTTCCTGTGAATTTGATAGGGGCAATAAACTGTAATCTTGCATTGGGCTTGGACTAGTGACTGTTTCTGTTGCCTTTCTTCCTGATATTTTCCCTGAGATTATCTGTGACATTACTTTTTTGGTGTTCTCGTTGGTCTTCCCTGAATATGTTTTAAGGGAACTCTCTGCTTTATGACCAGTAACTGACATAATATGTCTACTTGGGATATTTGCTGAATCTAACACACTTACAGTTGTTGCCCGGCATGAATGATTAGTGTAGAGTACATTTATTCCAGCACTGACACAAATTCTTTTCATATACTGTCCAAGTTCATTATGACCCACAGGTATATTACAGTAGTAAGTATTGTCTTTAGGAACACTTCGGGGCTGTTGGAACAATCTTGGGCAATGAAGACAGTCGTCGAAGATATTTCACAAAACTTCGTACGGGACATCGGTCACTATCTGAAATTATACAACATAAATTCTAAGAACTGCTTTGACCCAATATCTTATTAAAAGTAGGGTGATTATTATAATTAAAGTAAAAATAAAATTATTTTTTCTTTCCTTACTTTTCAAATATTTACCTTTTATCTCGTACATCCTTCCATCAGATGATTTTTCAGAATCATCTTGATGGTTCTTTGTTTTTTCATCTTTTGTTTTGTACACGAAGAGCTGATTTCCTTCCCCTCTCATTACTGCGAAGTCCTTTCGTGTTAGGGAGGAAAGGTTTTCTCTGCCTCGCCGGCCAAAATGTAACATTATGTCCAAAAAGACCTTAAACAAACAAGACAGATATCACGCTCAAAAACTTTAATATATCATAGGCCTATAGGCCTAATTATTTACAATTTCTTATTCATAATGGCTAAAGTACCAACCTTGTACTGCAACATTTTTTTTCATCCTCCAAGTTTTGGGTTAAATGTTCATAGATTACTTCCAAATGTTCGTCTGAGATGGGTGGATGGTGATCTATAGCTGCGCGACCCTGTCTTTTTAGCTCTTTAGTCATACACTTGAATGCCCTTGCCGACTTCTTAAAATCAGTTCCTTTCAAAATGTCAATATCAGTTCTCGTTTTCTCTAAATGTCTCTGTAAGCCCTGTCGATACGAAAGCAGTGTTGTTTTTTTATACATCTCACCATCCCTGTTGCGCATCTCAAGGTAAAACTTGGATAAAAGTTCGTCAAGTTTTTCATTGTCGAAAGATTCGAAATCTAACTCCTGCCCCTTCGTTAACAGGTATTCCCGAAATAATTTCACTGACGTTGAAGTGACTCGTTTGGTATTTTGTGCTTCAACATTCTCCATCAAATTTTTGATGCCTTCATCGTCAATAGAAGCGAATCTTCGCTTTTCAGTTTTTACGAGCTCTTTCGTGTCGTTCATCTTCTGCTAGTTTCGGAACGTACATGAAAGAACGATTTTCATTGGCTAAAATTTTCGATCATGAACTAATCGCAATCTGTAAAACAAATCTTGGATTTTCCCTTTTCTATTCTTAGTAACTCAAGTCTTTATCGGTATAATATAATTTAACACGTGGTACAGACCAAACCAATCAATTTTACTGAATTACATAGTAAAAATAATATTATATAAATATAGCCCTTTGATGAGGTCGATCCATAGATATATCGACTTCACAGAAAAGCATATCGACCGAGCACGAAGTGCGAGGTCGATATGCTTTTCTGTGAAGTCGATATATCTATGGATTGACTGAATCAAAGGGCTACATTTGTTATATTATTTTCTTTGGCAAAAATAAAGCTTAAACAATTTTTTGGACCATTATAACATATTCAAACATTTTGTATTAACTAACAACAATTTTGAACACAAAAACTCATTTACTCTGTGTTAGTGTTTTTGCATAATGTTATAGTTTATGGTAACACTTGTGCAGTTGGTAAGGCTCAGGCCTGGAATCGGTACAAGCATGTTAGCTGACTGTAAGGTAGGTGGCTGTACCAAGGTGGTGTTAACCTGAGTTTTCTGTACTTGGACATTCTGTTCAAATTCAATAGAACGTAGGATATCATCAATTCCATCCGATTCATCAAATAAATCTTTCATAAGAACTTCTTCCTGTGAATTTGATAGGGGCAATAAACTGTAATCTTGCATTGGGCTTGGACTAGTGACTGTTTCTGTTGCCTTTCTTCCTGATATTTTCCCTGAGATTATCTGTGACATTACTTTTTTGGTGTTCTCGTTGGTCTTCCCTGAATATGTTTTAAGGGAACTCTCTGCTTTATGACCAGTAACTGACATAATATGTCTACTTGGGATATTTGCTGAATCTAACACACTTACAGTTGTTGCCCGGCATGAATGATTAGTGTAGAGTACATTTATTCCAGCACTGACACAAATTCTTTTCATATACTGTCCAAGTTCATTATGACCCACAGGTATATTACAGTAGTAAGTATTGTCTTTAGGAACACTTCGGGGCTGTTGGAACAATCTTGGGCAATGAGGAGACAGTCGTCGAAGATATTTCACAAAACTTCGTACGGGACATCGGTCACTATCTGAAATTATACAACATAAATTCTAAGAACTGCTTTGACCCAATATCTTATTAAAAGTAGGGTGATTATTATAATTAAAGTAAAAATAAAATTATTTTTTCTTTCCTTACTTTTCAAATATTTACCTTTTATCTCGTACATCCTTCCATCAGATGATTTTTCAGAATCATCTTGATGGTTCTTTGTTTTTTCATCTTTTGTTTTGTACACGAAGAGCTGATTTCCTTCCCCTCTCATTACTGCGAAGTCCTTTCGTGTTAGGGAGGAAAGGTTTTCTCTGCCTCGCCGGCCAAAATGTAACATTATGTCCAAAAAGACCTTAAACAAACAAGACACGATATCACGCTCAAAAACTTTAATATATCATAGGCCTATAGGCCTAATTATTTACAATTTCTTATTCATAATGGCTAAAGTACCAACCTTGTACTGCAACATTTTGGCATCCTCCAAGTTTTGGGTTAAATGTTCATAGATTACTTCCAAATGTTCGTCTGAGATGGGTGGATGGTGATCTATAGCTGCGCGACCCTGTCTTTTTAGCTCTTTAATACACTTGAATGCCCTTGCCGACTTCTTAAAATCAGTTCCTTTCAAAATGTCAATATCAGTTCTCGTTTTCTCTAAATGTCTCTGTAAGCCCTGTCGATACGAAAGCAGTGTTGTTTTTTTATACATCTCACCATCCCTGTTGCGCATCTCAAGGTAAAACTTGGATAAAAGTTCGTCAAGTTTTTCATTGTCGAAAGATTCGAAATCTAACTCCTGCCCCTTCGTTAACAGGTATTCCCGTGATAATTTCATCTGACGTTGAAGTGACTCGTTTGGTATTTTGTGCTTCAACATTCTCCATCAAATTTTTGATGCCTTCATCGTCAATAGAAGCGAATCTTCGCTTTTCAGTTTTTACGAGCTCTTTCGTGTCGTTCATCTTCTGCTAGTTTAGGAACGTACATGAAAGAACGATTTTCATTGGCTAAAATTTTCGATCATGAACTAATCGCAATCTGTAAAACAAATCTTGGATTTTCCCTTTTCTATTCTTAGTAACTCAAGTCTTTATCGGTATAATATAATTTAACACGTGGTACAGACCAAACCAATCAATTTTACTGAATTACATAGTAAAAATAATATATTTTAATAGCATTTTACACAAAAATTAATTAAAAATCTTATTTCATTTAAAAGTTATTAAAACTTCAAATTTTTTGGCGGGTTTGATTGTCACATCCTTGCACTTTCACAAATTTTAATTTTATTCTTAACACTTAGGAAAAGTGTCAATCTTGTTGTGTATGAAAGAAAAATATTAATACTATAATCCAGAAAATTCAGAGTAGACATGTTCGAAAGCAAAACAAACACACAATATATTCTCAGTCCGTGCAGTTTAATAACTTTTAAATGAAATAAGATTTTTAATTAATTTTTGTGTGAAATGCTATCAAAATATATAATTCGTGATATTATACTGAAAATATTAACTTCAAATCTGTGTCCAAGTACCTTTAAAGTTTTCTTAAAAAGTAAGAAAATACCATCAAACTCATTTATCATATTTAAAAATTGGCAATAATAGATGTTAAGAAAAAAAATTATGCGTATGGACTACGCTGTTCTTAATTAGGAATTTAATGATTTTTCTTCTTTTTTCCATTTCCTTGTTGAAATTAATCGTTACCAAATCCTGTTATTTTTCATTCATTAATATCTTAAATACGAGACACATTAACACTTCGTGAAATACAATGTACTTGTCGAAAGGTGTCTATGCTTTTATGACTGAAATACTCATCTTAACAAACAAAATAGCAGTTGTAAAGAACATCAATATCTATATGAAATTCAAAATATTTCTAAAATTCGTTGTTATGGTAAAAAAAAATATCCGGTTTATTTTGTCGACTTTTACATGCATTCTGTATGCGAAGTATTTATTAAAGTAAGCAGAGGGAAAATGGTAAAAAAAAAAATCAATACATGGATGGCTACCTTTTCACTTCAATGTGCTTTTTCAAGTATACTTTAATGTTGATATTAGATTATTGACTTTTCGTAAATTATATTGTTTTTATTACATTAACACCCTTGAATGAAACTTAATGCAACGATGCTAATGTAGCATCAACAGATATTCTATGACTTAAAAAAAAGGACCAACATTGCCAGAGATCATTCGATACATCACACAATGACATATCTAATATTTTAAAAATACAAGTTCCATAAAACATCTTTATCTATCATAAGCAATAGCCTTCATAATTATCGATAATCTATAACCAAGGTCCGATTTATTCAAATACTTTATTCATACATTTATTAAAATGTCTTCACTTTCCTCAGATTTTACAGGAAATTTAAAACGAACTGTATGGACAACTGCTAAGATGAAATCAAAGCCAAAAACTTATTCTAAGCAACCAACGGGCGTTTGCAAACTAATCAAACCAGCTTAGCATCCCACTAAATTTCCCTTGGCATTAATAAGTTGATTTATGCATTTACTCTACAACATTTTGTTATCCTCTCGTATGAGAAACTTGAAATCCAATTTCTAGCTGGGCTTTAGGCTTGTCTTGAATCAAAGAAGATTCCTCTTTAAATGAATGATTACTTAGGATTTTATGCTTCAAGATACATTTGGATACCAAACAAGAGACATTGCGCTTTAGAAAAAGTTCGCAATATCCTAGATTCTTCATTAAAACTAATGCATATCGTATGTAATAATTTTTTTAAACTATTTTGGACAAATGTCTATTTGCTTATTTATTTATCTTGATTTCGCCATATTTATTAATCTTTTCGTGATTAACGATAACAATTTTTATATTAACTCTGACAAAGTGTAGACCCAAATAAAAGTAAAGGTTTAATATAAAATGTACTTATTGGTACATTCACTTCGTTTCCTGAGCCAGTGTGCAATTATTTATAATAAGAGATTGATAATAAGGCTTCAGACAAATAAGTCAATGTCACACGGGTTTCGAAAATCTCGTTTAAAGTCAACATTTTATATATTATGGCCATTACAATAACATTGTTTCCTGTCAGCCGGTGGATACAAGGACATTTGTTGACTTGGTTTCATGGCAATATGTTTGTCAGACCCAAGAACCAAACAGTAAGGTTCCAGTGGTTGACAAAATACAATTTGCCCGAAAGCCAATAAATAATTGTTTCGTTAAATCTTATTTTAAATTGAACATACTGGCATCTTGCCCTGACTTCTATATGCTTGCCATACATGTTACGAGATTGTAATTGATAATATATAGCTGATTCTACCCAATGTGAAACGTTAAAACCCTCACAATGGTCCAATATCGCATCGACTGGTCCAACTTCTCAATCAACAATCCAACTTCGACTTTTGTGGCGGCTTAGAAAAACAGTTCTATCCATTTTTTAGAGGAAGTTATGGATATGCTGTTATTACCTGATTCGTGAGTACAGGTGTATGCAAATTATGTTTTTAAACAAGAGGCCCATGGGCCTTATAGGTCACCTGAGTATTATGCAACAACTTTCCAGTGATTGAATTTGATTCATGTTTTAAGCCAGATGCTATGGCATTCACAATTTTGAAAGAGGCACCATTGATCATCATATCAATACACTTAGCAGTTGCTTAATTTGTTTACTTAATACCCATATGCAGGGTAAGGGAACAAAAAATGCATTTCAACTAATCAGTAATATTCAGCAATAATCAATAGTGCCCCTTTTTTACCACACATGAACCCCTGACCCTTAGGCCTTGATATTTGATTAATACCAAGGAGCTTTTCAAACCATTCATTCATTTTCAGTATATAAGTACAGCCCCCCCCCCTTCTATGGTACCCTGACCCTGGGGCCTTGAAATTCACAATTCTGGAAGATATGGGCCCTTGTCCAGCAAACTATATAGGTAAAAATCATCTGCTTAATACCCTGGAGCAGAAGAAAATTTTCAAAGATTTAATGTATTTTCACTATATAATCAATAGAGCCCCGCCCTAACACCAGAACCCCTGACCCTGGGGCCATAAAATTCACAATTTTGGTAGAGGCACTCTTGCTCATCATAACTATGCACTTAGTTAGTTTATTTAATACCCAGAAGCAGAAAAGATTTTCAAAGAATTCATGTATTTTCACTATATAATCAATAGAGCCCAGCCCTAACACCAGAACCCCTGACCCTGGGGCCAAACAAATTCACAGTTTTGGTAGAGGCACTCTTGTTCATCATAACTATACACTTAGTTAGTTTATTTAATACCCAGGAGCAGAGAAGAAGATTTTCAGAGAATTCATGTATTTTCACTATATAATCTATAGAGCCCCGCCCTAACACTAGATTTTCCTGACCCTGGGGCCATAAAATTCACAATTTTGGTAGAGGCACTTTGCTTCATCATAACTATGTACTTAATATTTTTTATTTAATACCCAGGAGCAGAGAAGAAGATTTTCAAAGAATTCATGTATTTTAACTATATAATCAATAGAGCCCCACCCTAACACCAGAACCCCTGACCCTGGGGCCATAAAATTCACAATTTTGGTAGAGGCACTCTTGCTCATCATAACTATGCACTTAGCTAGTTTATTTAATACCCAGGAGCAGAGAAGAAGATTTTCAAAGAATTCATGTATTTTCACTATATAATCAATAGCGCCCCGCCCTATCACCAGAACCCCTGACCCTGGGGCCATAAAATTCACAATTTTGGTAGTGGCACTCTTGCTCATCATAACTATGTGCTTAGTTGGTTTATTTAATACCCAGGAGCAGAGAAGAAGATTTTCAGAGAAATAATGCATTTTCACTACCTACTTATTTAGCCCCGCCCTAGCACTAAAACCCCTGACCCCAGGACCATGAATTTCACAATTTTGATAGAGGACTCATTGCTGATTACAATCATGCAAACAGTTTGACTGCTTGATGTCCAGGAGTTAAGAAGAAGATTTTTAAAGATTGCATTAATTCTAGTGGTTTTGGCCCCACCCCTCAGGCCCCAGGGGGGCAGGGATCATGAAATTCACAATTTTTGTTCCCCTTCAGCCATAGATGCTTTAGGCCAAATTTGGTTGAAATTGGTTCAGTGGTTGCAGAGAAGAAGCTGAAAATGTTCAAATGTTAACGCAGGTTAACACAACGCACGACGCACGACGACGGACGAAAACGGATAGCAATAGGTCACCTGAGTTTACTCAGGTGACCTAAAAAGAAGACAGATAAAAGCTTGTGCTTTCTGACGTTTATTATATTTCTCATTCAATTTTATTCTTAATTTTATTCCAATTCAATGTTTTATCATTCATTTTGACACCTCTTGATTTTAAACATATATTCAATTAGAAATCTAATCTCTTTTTAATATTACTCATTCAGGCTTTTATTTATTTAATGTATTCACTCAGTAACTCAGTTGTTATTATTTTTTTTCAACACCATTAAATGAATATATAATTCATACCCTTTTTTACTACCGCATTGCAAATGCTCACTTCTTTGAGAACTCATTGAAATCTTTTTAATATCAATTATCACTGAGGTGACTTTTATACCTCCAGTTTTTTTTTGTGAACACATGAATGTCGTAATTTACTTTAATTGAAAAATTAACTTAATTATATTTATAAATTCATCCCCCCTTATTTGGTATTTTACTACATCGTTCCATCTGCGTCTAATACCAAATATATCTCTTTTTTAACTATCAAGAGCCTTACAACTCATTTAATCTCAGACAATTACAATGCGTGTATTTACATCTTTGGTGGGCTTCTCTGATACGCGGCTATCCCTTCGAGGGGATCATAAATCGCCACAGACTAATCAAGTACAGCCGTACATATCAATCAATGTCTCCGTACCTCATAGAGGAAATAAAGTCCCTTAGAGAGAGGGGGGAAATGCATGTTGATTTTTTTTTTCTTTTTGTAAAAAGTAAACATAATGCATACTTAAAAAGAAATAAAGTGAAATTGGTCTTTGCATATATTTCCATTTTAAAGTAAACAAATGTCATGTGCATTTCATTTTTCTGGCTTACCATACTGCCATAACTTTCAATTGTATTTTTTTATATAAACAAACACTTTAGTAATAATATGGTTTTGCCTCTTCGCCTTAGCTATAAATCATTCTGTCCTACGTACGTATTAGAAGTTAGCTTTGCAAAGCCCTCACCGTATGCATCAGTTCAACATTATATAATAATCGCCTCCATACTTCCATTGCGGGGATCAGAAGATACCTTTGACATCACAGGACGAATTCTTCCTCAGGGTACCTTAGAGCACGTTTCTCATTATTTACAGAAACTGAAGGTGCACTATCTGTGTCCGTATTTTCGGATTCGTTTGCTTGAGAAGTCGTCGATGATAAGAGTTCTACTGTAGCTGCTGAGCTTGCCGGATTACTGTCATCACTTCTAGTTTTATGGTTGATTAGTGAGAGCTTTTTCTTCGGATGTCGAGGGTCGCTGACCACTTTCCCTTTATTACAGAGTTTAATGGTAGAACTGGATAAGGAGACGTCCTGTATCAGCGATTTGTTAGCATTATCGGCAATGTTTTCCGTCTGAGATTCAGCATTACATGTTATCACTTTACAAGTTTGAGATGAGCTGTTCTGTAGTTTCCTGGACTGGGCCGCGGTACAAATATCGATATGGTCGGGTTGTGAGGACACCTGTCCGGTTAGTAAGATATTCATACTCAGATAGAGCGGAAAGGTGAAGGCCTTCGTGACGGTCAATGCTAGCATTTCCTGAAATAGCAAAACTGGTAGATTTTTACGAGGTAATTATCCATAATCCTTTAATTATTTATTCCGACGTGTCGTCTGGATGAATATTATTCCCAAACGATTTTTTACGCATTTTACTTCTATGGATAACAAAATCACGACAAATGATTTATTGCTTGTCTGTTAATATAAATCTACATTAATAGGAAAAAATAATAGATACCAATTTGCAGCAAGAATGTGTATGTATGTGCATGGTTACCTTCTTGTAGAAGTCCATTATATCTATCTATGTTCCAGATTATTCCACAAATGTATTTGTTACTTCCCAATCAATCCATTTGTAAACCATGTATAATTACCGAAAAGAAATCAATCTTATAAAATGTCATATGTCTGATATCTGTCATTGTCATTGTCATTGATATCCTTATTCTCTGTAAGACCTGTAGACCTGTAGACCAGACAATGTACATTCAATTACTCGATACATCAGCAAGAGTTAAGCAGGCTTGTCATCAGTTAAAACAATGATATACTAGAAGACTACTTATGAATGCGATACTTTAATCTATTTCATTACTGACATTAAAACTGTTCCAATATATTTCTTACAGCAATGAAAATACCAAAAGAAATGAATTGGATTTTTATCAATGACGGTTCCAGCTTTTACGCAAACAGTTTCAACAATATATTAACATTATCGTTTATATGTTGGATTAAATAATGAAATTGTTTTATACAGAGTTACTTATTTCTAATGTTAAGGGAATTCTGTTTTAATCTTAATATTACCGATTTTCTGTGAATAATTAAAAATCCCACAATAACTGATTCTTTTCTCATTATTTAATAAGTAACCTTGGATGAAACACAGAGTAAAATGATATACTTCTAGAATTCAAACTTTAGAAATGCAAGAGATGGCAAAACGTTCTGTACATTTACAAAAATATTAAAACAAACAAATGAAGTGTTCATCTAGACAAATGCAAATGCATCTATAAAATAGGTAGTCTCACACTAAATAAATGTTCTGCTACTGTGTATCCCTAGATGAAACAGTGATGCAGATTTGAATTGTATAGGATTTAAAGTTAACTGGAATGGTCCAAAAAAATTCTAACTTGGTCCAAATTTAATCCGACCATTGCTCAAACAGCAAATGAAAATTAAACCCAGCATCTGGAGTAATTCTGGAAGTTAGCTTCCCTAGATGTATATTCATGCAAGTTTATTACTCAAGTATGAACCAGCTACAAAACTTTAATCAGAAAGATCGTCAGATGCAGGATTTGAAGTATGTTTCCATCCCTTAAAGCATTCACCGTGCAAGTCTGGTCCAGGTAGGGCTAACAGTAACATGTACTTGGGAATGGACATGCTCCAAAAATTTTAACTGGGACACCAATATTGTTGATTTCTCCATAAATATTTTATGCCTAGTAGAAAATTGAAGTTAATTTATTCTGTTTTTAAAAACAGAATCATAATTGGATGAAACTAAAAATTGATTAACATTTTAATGAGGGCAAGGGCTACAACACTTGTTCACCTTTCTGACAAGAAATCAAATACAGTAACTGTAGATTGGCAAATAATCACGATGGTTTTAATTTTGCTGTGTTCGCGATTTATCATTTTTCTGCAAAATTAAATCCATCGTGAATTCTCTAACCAGTTCTTAGATAACTTAGTTAAGATGCTAATACAAAATTTGAAAATTACAAAATTCTCTTACTAGTTCTTAGGTTACTTAGTTTAGATGCTAATACAAAATTTGAATTCATTTCTTGCAGCGTGAAATTAAAACCATCGCAATTGGTACTTTTTGGGATATCATAAAATTTTAACACCGTGAAATTAAAAGGACTTACAGTATATAGATATAAGGAATGTCTTCAGGTTGTATCCAAGCATTTCAACCCATGATTTAAGCAACTTTAGTTAAACTAAATCTTTTCCCCCCATTCTAGCCCCCCCCCCCCTCTTTGACCCCAGGGCAAAGCACTGTAAGCAAAAGTTGAATTATTTAAAAATCTTCACAACATAATATTGTTAGTTAACTTATTTACTACTTCAAATGTTGTTTCAAAACTTTTGTTTCTTAAAGGCCAGAGTACCAGTATGTATGTATATATGTACTATTCTCTATCAACCATTTCCCACATTTAAACTGAGGGTCGATTATTATTATAAAAAGTGGGCCCTGACATTAAGTATCTGATATTACCTCATCCTTATGTAGGGACAGTTTCTGGATCTCTGTAGTTTTAGTCTCCGTTACTTTTCCATCTTTATCCACAGAAGCCACAGTCAGCCTTCAAAATAAAGTTATGTCCTCTTTAACATCAACACATAAATATTGATCAGCGAACCTAACTATATGACTGAAAAAGTCGTAGTTATCTTCAACAAGTCAAATAACATGAATGTTTGTGTTTAACTGTTACAAAACATATTAGTTTACCTGTAGGCAAAATTTCGGACTTTTTCCAGGCTAGCTGAGTGAGGGTTGGGCTGGGTGAGAGTATTTCGCTTGATGAAGATCAGGTTGTTAACATAGGTGAGTAAAATGTCTACTCCGTAATTATAACCAACCCAACGCCAACAGTACTGAAATAGAGAGAGCTCGGATTAGGTGTTAGATCACAAGAAAATATCCCCATATAGCAGTAATCATATTTGATATCACGGCAATTACATCAAGTACAGGTATCAATAGATTTTTTTTTTCCATTCAGAAATGAATCAAAACAACTCAATAACATTTGATCATTGATATATCTTTATATAGTATAAATTTTCTCTTGGTCAGGAAAACTTACCTCTCCTTCACATTTAAGGAGTCTCCCACACCTTAAGGAGGTTTGATTAAAATGATTTTCATCTGGAATTTCCTCTGGACTGTTGATTTAAAGATAAAATGTAATAAAAGTTTACAAGTATATTACTTCATTCTAGGCATAAGATTTTACTTCTGACAAGAAAGGATTGCAGATTGAAGAAGATTGACTTAAGGAATAAATAATGAATGAAAAGTAGATAAACACACAGTCACATGAAATAAGAACCGTTAAATGGTCCCTCCCCAAAAGTAGGAAGATTGTCACATGCACAATACAAAACTCTGAAATCTAGTGTCAGATCTATGCAAAATTAAGTTTCTTTAATTTCAAACAGTCTGAAAATGTTTTACTGAGATTTGTATAAAAAATTTATCTTCAATTAAAAAAAAAAAATAAATTCCCTCCCTCCGGTGTCTGAAACCCTCTAGCCGGCAATTCCAAACAAACAATTTTTTAAGGGTGGCCTAAGAACCGTTACCCTTTGTCCTTGGATTGTTCTAATTTCATTTTTCTCCACATGCCATGATATAAAGGCTTAATCCACTCTAAAATTAGGAAAAGAAATTATATAGTTTTGTGTTTGAATTTTTTTTCTTCAGGAATTTTATGAAATAAATCACGGGTGGCTACAAAGAAATAACAATAACCCCCGCCCCCCACCCCTTTCGACATTTTTTTCATTCAAAGTTCAAGGTTAAATACTGACAAAGTTCATGATTAAATACTGATTCTGACCTAGATTGATTATCCTGTCCTGTTCCAGTATCAGCAGTGAGTCCAGATCTATGACAATATGCTGCCATCTTATAGGACTGAAGGCTGGTAGGTATGTCTGTCCTTCAGAAGATTCTAGATAACAGTCGGGTTCATCAGCCCCTAAAGAAAAAGAGTGAATTGAAATTTAATTTCATTATGTAAGTATGCATCATACACAATCTGATTAAAATCAGATCTTTGTAAAAATTTCAAAATTCTGTTAGTCTTTTTACTGGGACTATCAGAATTTCAGTGCAAAACAAGATCTGATATTAATCAGATTGAAATAATACACTGAATATGCATATTTCTTAGATTTACAGGCACAGATTTCTATCCCAGATTATGTGAGGAGAATTATCTATGTAAAACAGATGTACAAGTATTAATTAGCAGGCATAATTACTTACTTTTAAAGAAATCATCAATGACAGAGAGCATTGATTTATAGTCTCCACACCAGGTAGGATTCTCTTTCAGAAATATCCACTAAAATATAAATCAGCATCCACATACATATTTCTATACAACACTTATATATTTTACAGTAAAACCTGTTTAGTACGAACACAGATATTGCTAAGTCACGGATATAGCAAAGTCATTTTGGATCCCCAACTAAATAATAATTATGAATTTCTTACATGGATATAAGGAATTACGGATATAGTGAAGTAATTTCATAAGTCCCAGTGACTTCATTATAACCGAGTTTTACTGTACATAAATTAGAGTCATACAACAAGCAGACATCTTACCCGTTTTAACACTGTGTACACATCCATTTCTACCTGCATAACAAACAATCTGGGATCTCCAACTAAGTTTTTCATCATGTCAACACTGTGTATTGAAGAAATGTTGAATAAAAATTGACAGTATGATACAGCATGTGAAAAAAATTATATAAAAATTCTAAACATTAAACTCTAGAAAGCAAAACAAGCAAAGAAAATGTCTAAATCATTTCAAAATGTTCATATTTTTTATTGACTAAGACACCAAGAGTTATTCATTATGAAAACAAATAATTTGTCTCAAACAGTATCTGTCTTGCATGAAACTGTGACAATATCTACATTGTGTCTACATCATATAAAAGATCGAAAACACACACAAATCTGACCTGATTTGTTTAAAGAGGTCAAGGTCGGTTGAGGTCAGGATGTTGGTAAGGAGCCAGTTATAGCACTCTGCTTTCAGGTTCTCCACACTGTATCTACAGCAGGCTTCATGGTAGCTACACACTGTGTCTCCACTGTAATTATATAGAAGAAAACTTTGTGTTACATTATATTCAGCTGTATATTGTTTAGATATTATGTACAACTACATAGCTGAACAGGTATTTTAAGAATGAAGAAAATAAGTGGACTGGTAGGTGAAGCCTTTACGTGTGTGCTCAATATATGTTTGTACTATTCAGTGAAATTCAGGTTTAGAATAATAAAGCTGACACCCACCTTATAGTGTTACTCATCAAAGTCAAACACTGCTGCTTTAAACCATCCTACAAAAATATCAACATTATATAATTAAAGCCTTCCTAGAAAGGAATATCTATGATTTCAGTTTACACCAGGCTACAGAGAAGCTGAGCCTGGCTTTGCTCAGACCTACCAGCTGTAGGAGAAATGCTGCCGCCAGAACCCCTACCACCTCCACTGGCTTGATAAACACATAATCCCTGTACAGAGAACCAAAGGCGGTCTTCAGAGCTACAACAAAGTTTTAACTTTCATGATATATCAACATTGCATAATCATATTCATGTAGAAATGTGCTTTAATTTTTTGAGAGGTGAGATAAAAGCAAAATTGTACAGATGTGCATGTATCAAGAATTTTTTTTAAATTTTTTTAAGATAGATAATTTATAAACTTTCTTTTTTTTTTTCTCCTAACCTGCAGTGTCTATGGCTGGGTCAGGAATCTGTAAGTCTATTTCAGACAGAAGAGATTCCCTCCAGGAACCATTGAACATGCAGGCAAAGTAAGGCGACTGAAAATAATATCAAACAAAGTTAACTTTACCTCAATCTTTTGAAAAAGTTAGATATTGTGAAGAATTTATTTTCTGGAAAACTTATCAATATTCTCAATGAACAAAAAATAATGCAGTTTTGAAAGCTTACTCATGTTTTTAAAACAAAAGATGCTTGTTTTCAAGACAAGTTATCATTTCTTGATGAATGCCTATACATTCAAAAGTAAATTCTCACCTGAGAGAGATATATTTTGTGAAGTTTCCACTCTTGTTCTAGTGCATATATTTTGATATCACTATTTTCCCCATCAAGAAATAATGTCTGATAAATGTACTTTGATGTTGATTTGTCTGATAAACTTCTCATGCGACCACTGACAGTGATGTCCTGCCACAAGAGTGTCAGTTAATCCCATATGAAATGTTGAGCACTAGTACTTTGATGTTGATTTGAGTCTTTTTCTGTAAAAATATATATACATATAGTAGCAAACCATTTCCATGTAGCATACACCTTAAGCATCATATTAACTTTATACATATGATTTGTATGTATGCAGTGGACAGTGGTTTATATTTATAGAGTAACTTTTAGCTAATTTATTAATTTTTGTTCTCAAGTTTAAATTCAAATTTGTGATGGTTTGTTACATTGATCTATGCTGCAGACAAAATTTAAGAAATGTCTAGCTGTCTGACAAAATCTATTTAGTCCCAACTTCTTTGTCAATTTGGTCCAGATGTAGAGACAATTTTGCCATTAAATATTTTGACAAAAGAATTTGTCAATGAGAATGTAGTAGTTTAACCATGTCTCAAAACACTGGCGTCCCACAAAATGCACAGCATATTATTAATAACATATGAATTATGTTCAGAAATGACTATGAACCTTTCTATCAACCTTTCTACAAAAAAATGTATGACTAATAAAATATATTTTAATTTTGGAGAATTTTTTCGGAGTTTGGATTGAATAACTGAGTCAAAGTTTCATTAAACGAACTGTCAACGAGTTTCAAAGTTATTAGGAGTTACAAGCCTGACACTCAAATGACAGTAATTTGTCAAGTAAACAGGTAAACATTTCAGACTCATTATAATTTTACAATACTTAATACAAATAACTTTTTCACCTTTTAGGTGTATGAATGTCTGAGAGTGGGGCTAAACCAACTTCCAGATCCGACTTTGTTGGGGAGGGGCTTTCCTCCGAACGTCCCACAACTCCCTCTACTTTCTCTTCGTTGTCTGATTTATCCGAGTCAATTTCAAGCTTTCTTTTGGTCCCTCTTTTACCATGTGCACTTCCAGAATGCTTTGAAAACTTATTTGATATGGCAGAGCTTAACTTATTGCCCATAATTTGTCCAATATGAATAATTAATACCAGATAGTAAAACAGATGAGATATTGAGAGAGGTAACGCTAAAATGTCAACATCCGGTTATGGGCGATCACTCTTCCAGAGTAAGAATTGGGTAAAATTAGTTTACGAGCGTTTAAAACAAAATAATGCATTTTAACAGCCGTTGCGAATTTTAAAAAAATCTTTTGCGAAATAAGAATCTTAAGTTAATTTTTACAGTAAAAACTGGAGTTTTTTTGTAAGTTAAACATCTGAACAAACAGTCCACCTCCAATTCTTGTGACTGACCCCCCTTTTTTATTTTAAAAATCAATTCATTTCCTCAATTTTGCAAGAAAGAAAGAAAGAAAATTACAAAAAATAAATTCGAAAGATATATGAAATAAAAGTATCACAAGTTCTCGTCATATTTTACACGAAAAGTAAATTCAACCTTTTCTGACCGGGAGTGGGCCATATAGTACATACATGATTATATATAATATATACAGGGGTCAAAGGCTGGTGAAGGTCTCGAAGGGTGTAACTGATGTCACTAAGTTACATTATCAAAACTTCGATTCAATGTCTTCCGTCGCAAATAGGTTCTGCCAGCAAGTCACTGTGACACATCTCACAACTCCTCCTTTGGTGACCCTGGAAATACAGCCGTTGCGAATTTTAGCTGAATGACAGTGGCAAAAAGCGAGTCTCCAGCGCCTTTAAATAACTGGGGCCTGTGAATAAGGGAAGGAAAACCAAACAGAAAACCACCGGTCCTCCGGGTCCGGGGGGGGGGGGGGGGGGGGGGGGAGGAGTTGTGCACAGGGTTAGCAACCCTGCCATATAAAACAACAAGTGTACAGAAAGGCAAACAAGATTTAGTCAAAAGTGAAGACTTCTCAAATTCTGGAAGAAGTTTCTTCAAAAGGAAAACGAAGGACGCCATGTGGTGAAAGCCAGAGACAGAAGGAAACTACAAGACCGGAAATTCTTCTCGGACCTAGAATTTTCAATTTTAGAACTTTGAATTACAAGAACCATGTACGAAGCAGGGAAAACAGCGCAAATTGCAGCAGAGATGAGAAATTACAATCTTACACTGCACGACATTAATGAGACAAGATGGATTCAATCAGGACTGTGCAGACTTACTACAGGTGAATTACTCCTCTATTCCGGACATGAAGTAGAAAATTTACCGCATTCTCAAGGAGTGGCACTCATGTTATCCAAAAACAGCAAGGATCGAAGCATTAATAGGCGGGGAAGCACATGTACCAAGGATCATAAAGGCATAATTTAAAACAAAACATAAACGGATTAGCACAAATATTATACAATGCTATGCTCCAACAAATGATGCAGAGGAAGAAGCAAAAAACGAAGTGAGTTCTACAACAGACTTCAAAACATTATTGACACCTCTAGAGAAAGAGATGGTAACATCATGATGGGAGACCTTAATGGAAAAATTAGAAATGATAACACCGGATATGGTGAGGTAATGGGACAGCATGGACTGGGACGAGTGAATGGAAATGGTGAAAGATTAGCAAACTTATGTGTATTCAACAAACTGGTCATTGGTGGCACTCTATTTCAGCTCAAAAGAATCCACAAGCCACCTGGGTATCAACAGACCAGAAAACTGAAAAGCAGATAGACCATATATGGATCAATAAAAAGTTTAGAAGGTCTTTGCAGGATACTAGAGTCAAACGAGCAGCAGATGTAGCTTCAGATCACCATCTACTGACAGGCAGCATCAAACGGAAGCTCAAGAAAATGAAAACAGAAGGAAACTCTCACAGAATCAGATATAAGACTAGGTTTCTCCAAGCTACACAAATCTTATAGGAGTACAAGATTGCCACTGAAAAACAAATACCAAGCCCTACAGGAAATAGGTGAATTAACAACTGCTGAAGATAATTGGAAAAGGATAAAAGAAACCATCACAACAAGCTGCCATGAAATACTTGGAGTGAGAAAGTACCATCATAAAGAGTGGATCACAAATGACACACTTAAGAAAGTAGAGGAGAGGAGAGGATAAGAAGGCTGCGGTCAATTCAAGCAGAACTAGGGTTAAAAAAAAAATAAACACACAAAAAGAGTATGCAGAGGCCAACAAGAGAACAAAACAAAGTATTAAAGCTGACAAAAGAAGGTACATCGAGGAACTAGCAACAGAAGCAGAACAAGTTGCTAAAGCAGGAAACATGAAAGAACTGTATGGCATCACAAAGAAGCTAGCTGGGAAGCGAAGTAAACAAGAAAGGCAAGTAAAAGACAAAGCAGGGAAACAACAAGAAGGACAAGAAGAACAAAGAAGGATATGTAAAGAACATTTTGAAGAATTGTTGAATAGGCCAGTTTCACCTAACCCTCCTAACATTACACCAGCAGACAAAGACCTAGACCTAGACTGGGTACCATATACTAAAGAGGAAATAAAAATAGCCCTAAAACAGACGAGGAATGGCAAGTCAGAAGGGCCTGATAATACTACGGCCGAGGCACATAAAGTTGATTTTGACAACTCAGACAACATACTCCACCCACTTTTTCTGAAAATATGGGAGGCAGAAACAATTCCAGTAGAATAGAAAGAAGGGTACCTCATCAAGCTTCCAAAAAAAAGAGACCTCAGCGATTGTGCCAAGTATAGGGGAATAACACTGTTGGATGTTCTAGGGAAGGTATTTAATAGGATCATACTGAACAGAATGAAAGAAGTGGATGATAAGTTACGTGACCAACAAGCTGGATTTTGTAAAATATATCTTGTACGGACCAGATAGCAACGTTGCGCATTATCATCGAGCAAAGTGCTGAATGGACCTCTTCCCTCTATGTAGGCTTCATACCTACGATACCTTTGACAGTAATGATAGGGAGGCAATATGGAAACTTCTGCGGCATTATGGAATTTCCTGTAAATTGGTAAATATCATCCGCAACTCTTATGAAGACCTGACATGCAGGGTCATCCACGGAGGACAACTGACAGAACCATTCGAAGTATCTTCTTGCAATAGACTGGATAATGAAATTATCGACAGACAATAGAAGAAATGGATTACAGTGGACGCCATGGTCACAGTCAGACGACTAAGACTTTGCGGATGACCCGGCACTCTTATCTAATACTCAGGCACAAATGCAGGAAAAAATATAACAGTGGCAGAGACATCAGCACGGATAGGACTCAACATCAATATCACAAAAACATAGATCCTAATAGCAAACACACCATCACATGCTCCATTAAACAGAGAAGGTCAGGAAATAAAGGAAGTAGAACATTTCACCTACCTTGGCAGTATAGTGGACCAACAAGAAGGAACAGACGGTGATATAAAAACAAGAACAGAAAAGGCCAGAGTAGCATTCCTGCAACTTGGAAACATCTGGAAGACCAAGGGAATCACAACATGCACCAAAGTAAGGCTTTTTAAAACCAGTGTTAAGGCTGTGCTTCTTTATGATTCTGAGATATGGAGGTATACGCTGCCACAACAAACAGGATCCAGACATGCGTCACCTCTTGTCTAAGATGCATTCTCCAGATAAGATGGCCCGTTAAAAAAAGCAACATCAATTTGTGGCAAAGAACAAACCAAGCCTCTGTAGAAGCAGAAATAATGCAGAGAAGGTGAGGGTGGATAGGGCATACTCTACATAAGCCACACAATAACATTACAAGACAACCCTATCCTGGAACCCCCAAGGAAAACGTAAGAGGAGGCCAAATAACACCTAGCGGAGAGATTTGGAGGCAGATGTCAAAAGAATGGGGAAGAACTGGAAGGAGGTAGAAAGCATTGCTTAGGATAGAGGGGCCTGGAAAAATATTGTCAGCGGCCTAGGTCTCAAAAGGGGTAGCAGGCATAGATAAGTAAGTATAGCATAAATATTTTGAAAAGATTGGATTAGGTATCATTAAAGTCTTAGAGTCCCTGTCATGATCAGGAAAAATTGAGAAATCCAAAGATCTACATTTTTTAATGTAAATAATGGTCTTACAAATAGTACAGAAAGTCGATTCGGTGATAGACTTCCTTTGCTAACAAGGTCAATGATTCGACAATAGAACATTGTGAAATGATGAATTTAATCGGGACTGTTGATATTCTTGTTTCATTAACCGATTTGCCAATGGTTTGCCAAGATTTAGAAATTGTTATTACGTAGAACTTTAGATTTTCTTGTGTATCGAGTGAACTTAGATATACATCAACCCCTAATTGCTGATAAAGGTACATATACTCCTACATGTTACATGTAAATGAACTGAAGCTATAGAAATGTTGAAGACATCATGTTTATCACAAAATGTATTCACGGGTTACCACTGGCGTCTTTCTATGGTCATATATCTCAAAATGTCCAAATATGAAACAGATATGTCAGACTTTGTGGTACAAATGTGTCTTATATTTCAAGGCATAATAATTTGATATTTTCAATCAGAAGATAAGAAAATGCATCAATGCTTTTATTTTTTTTTAATGAAGTTTATCCATTATAGGTATGATTTAATTCAAATTCATTTTAATTGCAGGGAAGAGTAAAAAATATTTAAACTGATTTTGAAGAATACCTTTCTCAGAAAGGGACCTATGGGTATAAGTTGTATTACCACTTGCCAAAAAATCTCAGTTCCTCTAAAATACAGTTACAGTAAATACTAAGTAATGAGCCTTACAAAGACAATTTTTTTACCACCTGTGTCAGCTGTGACCAGTACATGCTGATCATGTAATCTACAAAATTCTTTTTTTTCACATCTGAATAGGAGAAGGATTTTTTCTTTAGTTTTTACATTGCCCTCAATCGCTCAAAGCAAGATTTTAACATCCAATACAAAAGTTGAAAATAACGAACAGCCATATCTCATAAGTGACACATTTTTATGCAATAGAGATCGTTAAAAAGCATTTAAAAACGAATCATGGGAAATTCGAGGCTGGATCGGTTGCCTAGGAAGAGTTAGAATCCCCTGCTGACCAGCCACACCAGCCGTGAGCCCTATGTTATATTGATCAGATAGGCAGAACATTAAGTAGTCGAAAGGTAAAACCATGATAGTAATTGGTATAAAACATGTCAGCAAAAATTCAACTCACTGATAGATTACATATCATAACAAGGTTATTTCAACGGCCAAAGTTGAGACGTGTGAGGACCATATGTAGGTGGTAGCGGAACATTACTAGAGCAATAAGGAAGTTGAAGACAGAAAATTTGAAGGCATCTTTTTTGTCATAGCGTAAAAGTTAACAGCTAATTCGCCGTTATCGTCGATAGTCAGTAAAACATCCAAATATGAAGCATGTGTAACCGCTTCTGCGGTATCTTTTATTTTGAGTTGACATATTGATAAAAGTAGCTAATTTCAATTGCCAATTTACATCGTCAATATATATCAATTCGAAGGACACAGCAAGTGTTTTATTCTTCCCATATTGAAGTTTCTAAAAGATACTTGTAACAATTATAATTTCCATTCTTATGTCGATATAATATATCCCAGTTAGCTTGAGATTAAAGGTATCACAGAGTCTGACACATCTGTTTCATATAAGGATATTTTACCTGAAAAAGACGTTAATGGTAATCTAACAACCAAGCTCTTTGTTAAACGCGAAGACTTTAACTTTTCTATAATCAACTTCACTTACTTATGCAGCAATATACCTTCATCACCAGCATACGGAGTTTATGTATCTCATTTGATTAGATACGCAAGAGTATGCTCTACGTATGAACAATTTCTAAAACGAGGTAAATTATTGACAAACAAGTTGATGAAACAAGAATATCAGCAGTCTCGTTTAAAGTCATCATTTTGTAAGTTCTATGGTCGATACAATGACCTTGTCAGCAAAAACAATTTGTCATTAAGTCAAATGCTGACTGACGTTTTTCAAACTAATTGGTAGTCCATTGTTTATACGTACACTGAATTGACGACGGATTTTTCCTTTATTTCCCGATCATGTCAAGGAGCACACAGCGGGTGTGACCGGTCGGCAGGGGATGCTCACTCCTCCATGGCACCTGCTCCCACCTCTGATGTTTTGGTGGTCCGTTTTTGCTCTGCTCCTGTTTTGTATTGTTTCATGGACTTTTGATCTTTAATACTGTTCGTTATGTCCATTTGTTTCATTGATGATACAGGATACAAATCTTTTTTCAAGTCAACATATTTCGCAAATTCTTTGGTTGATACAATGAACGTTTTGCAAGTACAATCTTCATTGTTATGTCAAATGCTGTTTGACGTTTTTGATACACAATTTTGGACCGTCATTTTTACACCTTTGTGTTAAAGATCACGACAGAGAGCACACTCGGGTGTGGTAGGTTGACAGGGCTCTCTCTCTCTCTCTCTCTCTCTCTCTCTCTCTCTCTCTCTCTCTCTCTCTCTCTCTCTCTCTCTCTCTCTCTCGCCTCGCCTTTTTTAAATTTGATTTTGTATTATGATTCCTTTAAATGAAACATTCTAAAATGAAATTCAAAATTTTATTGCAAGTTAATTTTTTTTAATTTGAAATTTTATTAACTATCAATAAGACGCCTACAAAGATGGAGTATTTTTGTGAATAAATGTGCGGAATAAAAAAATAACTCTATATAATAAAGACCATCTGACCCACCCATTCAATATAATATGTCAATGCTTTTAGAATTACTGAGTATTCAACAAAGCGTTCCTATTTTAAATGATGAAATATGACTTTTATTACATATCAGATAATTATTAAAGGATTAATTACAAATTATTACCCAAACTGAATACTAGCTATAACATAAAGAAGACCACTGAACATTAATAATTTGTCACAGACATAAAAACTTTGTATTATGAAACCTTCACAAAGAAAGCAATTTCCTCCTTCAAACTGACGCAATTTTTCTGCGGGAATGATTTTAAATAAGGTGCACATTTTGGCAAATTATACGGTTTTGAATTCATGTCACTTGAGAAGATCATAAGCATCGCAAGTACTTGATAACATTCTTACTTGGGAAAACCTTTTTTTCCAAAATGTAATTACTTAGCGATAAATTTAATGTATAGTTTCTTTAATTAAAATATAAATATACCAAGATATCAAAATGTGTCATAACAAAAAAATCTCTGCTTAAATGGTTTTTAATAATTCTAAAGTGCACATTTTTGCAAATATTTATTCTGAAGTGTATATTTTTGCAAATTACACATATACGGTTTTATATTCGGTTTTATATTCTTGTCACTTTGAGAAGAATTCAAAGTGCAGCAAGATCGAAATGTGATGTAGCCAAAAAAATCTTATAAAAAGTTTAGCATCGTTGTGGAAATATGATTTTGTTTTATAAATCAATAAATCAGTACTTATATATGACTTTCATAGTATTCTTTGTTAAAGTTCCAAAATGTATTTGCTTTGCTTTAATTTAGATAGTTTCTTAATTCAAAGTGCAGCAAGATCGAAATGTGATGTAGCCAAAAAAATCTTATAAAAAGTTTAGCATGAAAATCTCTCTCTCTTTCTCTCTCTCTCTCTCTCTCTCTCTCTCTCTCTCTCTGTTGTGGAAATATGATTTTGTTTTATAAATCAATAAATCAGATACTTATATATGATATTGGTGTCTTCATTTTAATAGTTTTATTTTTAGAACATAGTATTCTTTGTTAAAGTTCACAGCCAATTTTTGATTTTTCAATTGAGGTTATATATGCTAGTAAGACCTACAAAAATGTCTAGTGCAGATGCGTACGAATGTTAACATTATACATGATGTATGAGTAATCCCTTTATTCCATAATAGTTTCTTTTTAAAGTTGAATTTAATTATCATGAGGTAAAATATTTGCACTAAAAGTTATTCCGATAAATATCTTTCTTCTTCTAAGCACATATTTTATTTACTAAGTTAAAGTCTTCTTTGAAAGTTTCCATTTTGCCAGTTTCCAATTGTTAGAAACTTGAATAGTAAGGAATACGGTACTTGAAAATTAACATGTATGTGGCCTAACAGAACACAATGCATGAAACACTTTCAGAGTTACATTTTTAAAGCTTTTTTAATCTAAATACATTAAATACATCGGAATATTTCAGCCTTTCCCTGATGTTTGATGCAAAGATTGATTGAGGATACGCATCGTATTTAAAGATATCGAAATCACTTTTTAGGATATGGACAAGTTTGACTAGTTTATCAAAGGCCACCGTTCTGTATATATCTATGAAGAAGCCTTCTTTCTGTAACTTCCTGTTCTCTTTTGAGGTAGACTTCCGTTTTGCTTCCTTCATAGCCCGTATCAGCTGCATTGGTTTGAGATATTGGGACTGTTTCTCACTGTAGGGGTAGTTCTGATCGATACTAATCAGTCCTTTGATTTGCATGTGTCGCCAGGATCGGAGATAAGCTTCATGCATCGATATACACTTTACAATCTCGTCTCGTCTCTCCTCTAACGATGTGGCGACGTCGATGAAAGTATCGTCTCCTGCTTCTTCTTCTAAGTCGTTGACATCAAACTTAGATATATTTAACGTCTTCATCATGAATGTAAAGTCTTCTTTGAAAGTTTCCATTTTGCCAATAAAATCGTACTGTACTTGGCATGGCTTACATAAATCGTACATTGCCATGAAATGGGGGTCTCTCCTTCGAAAAGTTGTACTCTCTGCTTCAATAACATATTGGATGAATTCGTCAAAACTAATATTATGATAACATTTAGTGGGAGGTTTCGCTGTTTGGGATAATTTTGCGACTTGATCTAACCGCACCACTTTGGTAGTTTGTTTTATAGGGACTCGGATTTCTTTACCAAGCACCCCCCAGTAAAATGGATTGGCTGTGTATATCTTATCCAAATAACCAGACAGCAGTCTTTTGAATGGATTTCTAACAAACATGAATACTATATGAGTTCTTAATTTTGCTAACATCCGAAATAAATCTTCCCTGAATAGTGATTGTGACTTTTTATTCACATTTAGTGGTTTGATTTGGTAAGGATTTTCTAGATTAGTGGAGTCCAGAACTTGAAGCACTCTTCTCCAGAAAGTAGTCCCGGCTTTCTCTATGCTGCAGTATATCAGTTTATGTGACTTGCTCATCTGAAAGTGGTTTTGGATGGTGCGATCTGGTTCACGTCCAATGTCAAACTCTTTACCTCGGCAGGCTTCGTTATATTGTGTAAGTCTTTGATTTACATAGGGTTCCGAAAGGACAGCTGTTTGTATCTACAGACGTAAAAAACAGATTATAATTAACAAGCACTGTATGATATTAAGTACATTAGGTAACAATTGACTTTGTAATTTATGCTAATTTTTTCAATATTCATATTTCTGATTGTCAACTTTGAAAGATAATTTGATTTCTTTATTCAATAAATTTATTAATAGCCCCAAAACCTGAGGAATCAGAATAAGAGTTTTTTTGTCTTACTAGAAGTTTTGGTGACTGTGTGTGGTACGAGGAGACATTATTTTTATTGTCAGGTGTTAAATCCACGAACAATTCCGAGAGATTTGATGGGTATAAAGACAACTGCTTCCACACCACATCCTCCTGTGATCCCCTCAGGCTATTCAAGGAGGAAAGCTCTGCAAAGAATATTTTCATTATTTTTAAAAATCACAAAGGCTTGCTCCCGGCGTGTAAAAATACTTATAAACAAATATGAACTATTATCTATGTTACATATAGTATTTAGTGTATGTTTTAGTTCAAATATATATGGTTTTTTAAACCAGAATAGTTTTTGACACGCCTTAAGCAAACCCGTGTGTTGAGAATAAGTGAAAGTATTTGCAAATATTAACAGCAATTAAGTCATTCAACCCTTAAGCGCAATCTATCATGAAGCCAACCATACATTATTATGACAGTACGATGATGACATAGAATTAATTTTGTCGTGTAAGTTCACTACGTTATTTAAGTTAATTTATCAACACACATACTCCCAAATCTTACTTCACCAAAAACAAAATGTGGGATTCATTGTGCATTATTTTTGTTTTACCTCTTCAACTCTTTTTTATGTACTACACTTTGAATGTTACTCAAATGTAAGTGAAACATATGGAGGTAACGAACAGTATTCGAAATTAAAAGTCCATAAAACAATACAAAATAGGAGCAGAGCAAACACGGACCTCCAAATCATCGGAGATGGGATATATTTTTATATTTCTTTATTAGGAACTTTGGATGTCTGGGTATTATATCCTGGGTTGTATATATACCGAATGCAAGGTTTATGAGTCACTGAAGACTTTGTGTTCCTTCTCTGAACCGCAATAACCACCACAGCAAAGATTGCAAGAGAGATTGAAGTATTTAAAATTATCGCTCAAGTTGATAAATGCCAATACTTGTATTCGACACAAAACAAGAGGTCTTAATTACTCATGGTGTACGAATAAGACAGAGGGAATCTTATCAAATTATATGTTCAAGTTAATTACATTAATAAACCGATGAAAAGGAATTCATATTATATAGAAATTGATACATTGAAAGGGTAATTCATTTTTAGACTTTCTAATAGTCTATAATTAAGTCGAATGTTGACAGATACATTTCATTATTAAACCATTTATTTCGTACTGCATTGTCAACGGACCCATCATGACAGGGAGCACACGATGGGTGTGACCACTAGACGGGGGATGCTTACCACTCCCTGGCGCCTGATTCCAATAAGTATTTTAGAAGTCCATCTCTGCTCTGCTCCTGATTCGTATTGTTTCGAGGACTTTTGAGTTCGATTTTTTTCTGTTCGTGATCTCCGTATTTCATTCACAATTTACACATTTTTTTTAATTAAATATCTTTCTTTCTTAAAATATTATGTTGTGACTGGACAATAAATGGAAATAAAAGTTATTTTCTGAACTCAGAAATAATTTAAACTCGCATCTTACCTTGATATTGTACGAGCGCAAATAATACGAGAAACACAAAACCAATTATAGCCAGATTCTCTCTGGAGATCCGTCTTTTCCGGCAAAACATTCTCCTCCTAACACAAACCTTACTCTCACTCCGACTGTTTCGCAGTACCGTAAATCGAGAGCATTTTTGGATGATAAAATTCCCCTGATTTACATTCATTCAGCCATACTAATTAGGTAACAAGAGAACCGGACATATTCCGCTTTTTTTAAATGCCGTCAATCAAAGATCCTGAGTTCTTTTTATCGTCCGTGACACTTGTATAACATGTAAGGGGAATGAATGACAAATGATCGTAGAATGCTTGGAGTAAAATTTTAATTTGTAATTATATCAATGTCAGAAGAAAAACTTTCCATATAAGCTACGAAAATAAAAATCACAGAGTTTTCTTTTTAATCTTGAAAGATATATCATCATTGTCTCTGTTAAGTATTAAAATTTTTAATTTTTGCCTATAGACTTTTCTTCAAAACTTTATATTTAGATATTTCGACGACGTATTGTGGTTGTCGATACGATATATTCAGGTGAGCTGAAGATATAAGATACCACAACGTCTGTCACATCTGTTTCAAATTTGGATATTTGACTTGAAAAAGACGTTTATGGTACTAAGTTACCTAACAAGCAAGCTCTATATATGATAAACTGATGACTTTAACTTTTCAAACTTCCATTACTTATACAGCAATATACAGATATCTTCATCAACTGCATATGGAGTTCATATCTCTCAGTTGATTCGATACGCAAGAGCATGCTCTACGTATGTACAGTTTCTAAAATGAGGTAAATTATTGACAAACAAGTTGATGAAACAAGGATAGCAGTCTCGTTTAAAGTCATCATCCGTGAGTTCTATGGTCGATACAATGACCTTGTCAGCAAATACAATTTATCATTGAGTCAAATGCTGATGACTGAAGTTTTTCATAATCATTGTTAGGCCATTATTTGCACACAGAATGGGCGATGTATTTTCAATTATTTCCGGATCATGACAAGGAGTACGCGGTGGGTGTGACCGGTCTGTAAGAGATGCTCACTCCTGCATTGTACCTGATCCCACCTTTGATGTTCTGATTACAGACAACGTTTTATCAGTGAAATATCCAAATATTGAACAGATGTGTCAGACTCTGTTTAGGCCCTATATTCTTTTTCAAAGAATAAAAAAAATTAGCAAACATTGCCTAGTAGGGTTGTTTCCCCCCTCTCGATTGCAAATTCTTCATTGGGTCTCATGCGACCTGTAATTACAACACTGAACAATATGTAGGGGGTAGACTTGGAAACAATCAAGGAAAACGGAGAATCAACTTTGAAGTTTCACAGCAGAGTTCAGTTAGCATTATTATGGTTAATTGTGTACAAACTTAAACAAGTACGAGAAACTTCTTAAATGAGTCTTAAATGACTCCTATTTTTGGAGGTCCATGTTTGGTCTGCTCTCTATATGTATTGTTAAATGGAATTTGAGATTAGATAATGTTCGTCCAATCTAGGTTTCGTGCATATTTTTGGAGTGAAAAATGGAGCTAACGAAAAGTATTCAAGCTCATAAGTCCTTTTAGTAAAACAAATCAGAAGAAAAGAGCAACATCCAACCCTAAACATCAGAGGTGGGATCATGTTCCATCGAGGAGTACGCATTCCATGCAGACATGTCACACCCGCCGTATAGTCCTCGTCTTGATCGGGAAAGATTGGCAAATCCGTACACAATTCAGTGTTAAAACATCATTCTTTTTAAAAAAATTTAATGGCAGATTGTATTTGCTGGCCAGGCATCTGTATCGACCATACAACTTGCCGAAATGTGATTTTATATGAGACTATTGATATTTTGATGTATCAAAGTGTTTGTCAAAAGCTTGTCACATATTAAACAATATTTTTTTTCAACTGATCAGATCAACTGACAGACATAAATCCTATAAGCAGGTGATAAGGGTATCATGCTACATAAGTAAGAGGAGTTGTTGTTTAAAAAGTTGAAGTCATCACGTTTATCATAAAACCTTGTTGTTAGGTTACCCTTAATGCTTTTTTTTCTACTAAGATATCCAAATATGAAACAGATCTTTGAGAGTTCGTGTCGTCTCTATTTCAAGCTCACTAGAATAAATAGAGCATACTTGTATAAATGGAACTAAAGCTGTACATGTATTGTTAATGGACGATACGTCATCAATATATACTGAGTGTATTATTTACACAGTAAGTGTCCTCTTTTCTCATCAATAAGATTTTGAATAAACTTTGCTCCATATGAGGTCTGTTAAAATTGTTAATCTGGGTTTTCCGACAGATTGTTGGAAGACATGGCTCTGGTGCCATAAAACTTAAACGAGCTCGCTTTTGATCTCAGTCTCACTTTTTTCCAATGGAATTAATAGTGGAAAAGTGAGACTAAGTTAAAAAGTGAGCTCGTCGAAGTTTTATGGCCTCGGAGCCTGATCTCCAAAATCTATATGCATGTTCATATTGTCAATAAAAAAAAACCACAAGTATCTATTTTTAGTAAAATATCAACATTGTTGTGTGTACAATCATAGCGTTTTTCCCAATATCTTTGCCAAATGACAACGTAATAAAATTTAGGACTTTCAGTTTTATTTAAAAGCAGTTGTCAATGACGTCATTAAGCCTGGATTTTACATCTTTTATTTCATTTTTGGGAATAATAATGTTAAGGATTGAAATGTGTGGAAAGTCCTCCGTTTTAATGTTAGTTAAGTCTCAAAAATATGTGTAAGATTTCAAATATTCTTTAAGTTCTTTGGAAATTTCAGTATCCACATCTTAGTTATACCAACTCTCGATCATATTGTTGTGTGATGCTCCTGAAATTTCTCCTTCACTGCTTAAAATAAATATTTCAGTGTTAAGTAAAGAAAGATACCTGGTGGAACTTTTACTGGAACCCGCAATACATCTTTGATTGTAAGGAAGTTTTATGAAGTGGAGAAATCCATTATATGCGAATTCATTTTGATTGTTGGGATTATCAAAATTATTCACAATTCACAACTGACAATTGCTTGTCAAATATTTCCCCCCTTTACTTTTGAATTATTAAAGGCAGGGAGATAGATGGTTTTCATATTGACCCTTAATGCGAGATTTTAGCATCAAACAAATACCTATATATTTAAATCATTTTATCTTAGTGTCAAAATCTTCTTTTTTATGTTTGATCATTTGCCTAAAGTAATATTACACAGAATTCATTATACTTAATCCACTTCTGATGTTTGGGGGTCCATGATTGCTCTGCTCCTATTTTTATATTGTTTTGAACTTGAATGCTGTTTTTTATCTCCATATGTTTCATTACAAAATTATAACCCGGGTTGAAAGATCGAGCCTAAACATTGGGTTTTAAATTCATTATTACTTTAAACAAGGAAATTTCTCCCCTTTCACCGTAGAAACAAGTGGACGAATTTGAAGAAGAGGTAAACTAAAAGAACAAAGTTTTATTTCTTAGTGTGAATGGGCGAAAGTAAAACGAGACAAAATTGTTTGCAACAATAAGCAACTATATTTACTCCCCTAGTACAGACGTTTCTAGAAGGATTATAATAGTGAAGGTGTTTTAGATTTACGACATCTATCAGAGTCTTGTAGAGTTTTATTGTAATTAAAAGTTTGGAAGCAATTATCTATATATATTTTTAAATATTAAATTCAAGGTGTGGTATTCAACTTGAAATACATGTATGGTAGAATACAAAACTTGACCCCTTTTATTATTAAGAATATTACTCAAACTAACAGCGTCAATTTCATTTGTAGGCCTATTGAAGTTTAAGGGAAAATGGTTGTTTTTGCAATGATTTTTTCTTTTAAAAGTAGCAATTTAAACACCCTATGACTTGCAAATTTCATGATTACAGATCCAATCCTGTATTCCAGTATCGAAGATTTTTTTGCAAACAGATTTTTATTTAATATCAAAGGGATATAATGAGGTAGTAGTGAATCATAGGAGATTACATTTATATTGTAAAACCCATGATCATGACTACGCGTATGTTTTTTTTGTTAAAAAGTCAAATTAAATTCGAACTACTACACTATATGATTGAAAGATTCCTTATACTGTAAACGTTGTAATTGATTGACCTGTAGAGCGTATTCTTTGCCAATAATTTGCGTCATGGACATAATTATAGAACAAGAGGCCCATGGACCACATCGCTCACCTGAGAAGCTTTAATCATGCTATTCTTAACCAGATTTCCCTATTTTACATGCAATACCTTTTGTGACCCCATCTTACCCCACAGGTCAAAATTTGAACAATTTAGAATCTACACTATCCCTGGATGCTTCCACATAAGTTTCAGCTTTTCTGGCCCAGTGGGTTTGGAGAAGAAGATTTTTAAAGATTTTTCCTATATATTTCTATGTAAAACTTTGATTTCTTATTGCGGCCCCGCCCAACCCCCGGGGGCCATGATTTGAACAATTTAGAATCTGCACTATCCCTGGATGCTTCCACATAAGTTTCAGCTTTTCTGGCCCAGTGGTTCTTGAGAAGATTTTTAAAGATTTTTTTTAATATATTTCTATGTAAAACTTTGATTCCCTATTGCGGCCCCGCCCTACCCCCGGGGGTCATGATTTGAACAATTTAGAATCTACACTACCCTTGGATGCTTTCACATAAGTTTCAGATTTTCTGGCCCAGTGGTTCTTGAGAAGAAGATTTTTTAATAACCCCACCCAATTTTTGTCTTTTCTGGATTATTTCCCCTTCTGAGAGGACCTGGCCCCTCATTTTTACAATTTCAATTTACTGTCTTCCAAGGATACTTTTACCAAATTTGGTTATAATTGGCCCAGTGGTTCTTGAGAAGAAGCCGAAAATGTGAAAAGTTTACAGACGGACAGACGGACAACTAGACAGACAGACGGACGGACGATGGACAAAATGTGATCAGAAAAGCTCACTTGAGTCTTCGGCTCAGGTGAGCTAAAAATGTAATTTACTTTCGTTTCTTTAATATTCGCAGGCATCAATTTTCGTTGATTTAGTAAAAATCGCAGTTTTGAGGATACATAAATTCTTTGATAATAGACATACTAAAGAAACATTGTCACATTTTCATTTTGTTCTCTCTCTGTAGGCTTCACTGGATAGCTTTAAGCCATTTACAGTGTAAAAAGCAGGTTGAAATATTAAAAAACTTTATATCTGATATTGAAATCGATCGATTAATTAAAAAGATCAACATTTAAGGAAAAATTTGCAAGTGTCTTAAAATATATTCAAATCAATTTATCAGTATAACTTTGAAATTTACATAATCGGTTAATAGATAACGTCCAGTTTTCCCCGTAATCGAACATAATCGATTACCTTTAAATTTACAATCGATTAATAAAAGGTAACTTCAAATTTTTTCTTCTTTAAATATCAAAGCAAAAAATATTTTAATGTTCAGCATGTGGTATCATGGTTATGTAGATTATATCTCTCCTAATAATTGAATATGCAGTTTCAGTGCAGATTATGTTGAAGAAAAAAATCTAGTGCAATTTCATTCCTTGCATCCATCGTCCTCACTAAATGCTTAAATGAGGGACTCTTTATCATAGAACATGGAGACATGCTTCTCGCAATAAAATTTGTCACGGAAGTTAGTATTCTTTCAGCTTCTGGACGTTAACATCCATATTCATTTGCTTTTGTTGCAGAAACTATTAAATGTTTCATTGTGATTTAGAAGTACATTGTATTTGGACTACCTGCATGATGGCAGCACATATTATACATTCCTGAATTTTTTTAAGTAACAATCATATAAATAAAATTTGCCATAAAGTGAAACGAAAAGCATAATTTCTTTCTTTATTGAAATAAGTGTTTTGACAGCTTTTAATTATTGTAATAGTATTGTTTGTCTAATGTCTACAGTGGAGCCATCAAATACAGAAGTTAACCATAGTTTATCTCGTTATCTGTATACACATGGATGTTCCAGTCAATTAGGCAAAATAAACACACAATGACAATTACTGAAAATTACATACACTTATATAACCTCTCTGACAAAATATGTAACCTCACAATTTTGAATGATTTTGCAAATTTTAAAGTTCATACAACATATTTTTTTAAATAACTTTTAAAACATCAGAAATAAAGAAGTATTTCAAACTTATTTTTCTTAGTAGTATTTAGTTTGTTTACTCAATTTTTGACTTATACACGACGTTTAAGGACAGGTGATATAATCAAACTTTAATCAGCAAACTTTCATTAAAAATTCTGAAAATAACAACCTGAATTATAATCATGTTAAAAAATCTATAGAATAAAAACGTGGATGCAGAAAGGTTGAATTTTGAACATCGTAGGGAGTTAAATTCTTATAATATTTTAAAAATTTATGTTAATTCATTTTCAATCAAAATATAGCTAAAAATATATACCATGCCAAGCAACCATATTTTTGTTTGCATCATATGCCCCTTTTGTAATTCATTATATTCAATTACACAACGAAATTGAAATATAAAAGTAATGACATGCAGCAAAAGGAGTGCGTCAAATGTTAGATGAATAAACACAAAAAGCTGTATGTTTGAAATACTAGTACTTAAAAACTTCAGTATTTAAAATGCTTACTAGGAAAGTAGGTACATGTATATATTAAGTATATAATGTTAATTTTATACTTTACATCTTAAACTTATGATAAACTATATTGGAGATAACGAACAGTGTTCAAGACCAAAGGTCAATTAAACAATACAAAATTGGAGCAATTATGGACCTCCTAAACATCAGTGGTCAGATCAGATGCCATGGAGGAATGAGCATCCCTTGTTGACTACTCACTACCGCCGTATGCTCCTTATCATGATCGGGAAACAACAGAAAGTTTGTCGACAATTTAGTGTGTATATAATGGCCAACAGTTACATGTATTATGATAGTGTTTACTGACATGGTCATTGTATCGACCAACTATTGAAAACTTACGAAATTATGACTTTAAACGACACTGCTGATATTCTTGTTTCAGCAACTAGGGTGTCAATAATTTACATCGTTTTAGAAATTATTCATACGTAGAACATGTTCCTGTGTATCAAATCAATTGAGAGATTTAACCCTTTCATGCACGTGATAAAGGTATATTGCTGCATAAGTAAAGGTAATTGCAATTGGCGATTGAAAAGTTATTGTCAACACGTTTATCATACAAGTAAAGCTTGGTTATTAGATAACCATAACGTCTTTTTCAAGTAATATATCAAAGTATGATACAGATGTGACTCTGTGGTATCTTTTATGTCAAGTTCTCCGGAATATATTGTATCGACATAAGAATGGACATAGCCATTGTTTAATCAATACGTCGTCGATATATCTTAATGTCGAGTTGAAGGCCACAACAAGTGTTTTTGTCTTTTTATGTGTAAGATTATTGATAAATTCTGCTTTATATTAATACAAAATAGGGTCTGCTAATAACGGGGCAGAATTGGTACTCATGGGAATTCCAATAGATGTTGGAAGACCTGCTCTTCAAAACCACATAGATGTTGTTAATCAGAAATTCAAGCTTTTTAAAAATTATCTTCAGAGTACTTGTGTGAACAATCAGAAAGTTTTATAACAAACTAATTTTGCAAATAATCAATGACACGGTAAGTATATTTACGAGTTTCATTTTTTAAAAATACAGCTGTCAGTGATATCAAAAAGACTAAACTTAAATTTATCGTAGGGAATAGTTGCATATAAAGTAGAAAAGTCGCAAGTTTATATGCTGTTGATTTTGGTAAAATTTTGTGATTTAATATTTTCCAAAAGTTCCACGGATATTTTAATCTACATCCGATTTCCTTGAATATCTTAATCCACATCTAATTTACACCACCTCTCGAATATTTTGCATGAAAATTCTTTTTTACTAGTGTTAATATTTTAGTGAGAAGTACGGAAAAAGAGGCTTATTTGAACACTTGCTGGAACCCGCTATTTATCTTTGCAAGGATTGTTTTGTGTTTTTTCAGAATCCAATATAGATATGGTTATTTCAAATTTATTTTGGTTGTTCGGACTTTTTTCAAAAAATATTCAAAACTGATAAATGATATTGAAGAATTTCTTCCTTAGAAAGGGAGTTATGGGTATAAGTTGGATTACCACTAGTAAACTGAAATCCCAGTTCCTCTAAAATACAATTTAGATGATGAGCCATACAAAGGCAATGTTATTACCAGGTACATACTGACTGTAATCTATCTAATTCTTTTTCATTTCGTAAAAACTTACCACAGAAGAATTGTTCTTTTTCATTTTGCCCTTCAATAGCTTGATACGGTATTTTAACATAGTCTGATACATTTAATCCATTTTCACAACGTTTCAATGTCTCCTATTTAGTTTAAGTTATCTCCTGTTCTAAAACGTGGATAATTCTAGAGAATATTTGTAGTTAAGCATAGATTCTTTGATGTGTATAGCCAAGAAATCCTTCACAATATTAAAATATCTACTAAGAAAAAGTTGTATCAACATATCATAGACCGATTATTTATCAAGACCTATTAAACGTGCATACAAAAAATGAGATCTTGAGAAAACTATTCAATGTCTCCATATCTCATCTTTGTTATGGATATACTGTTCAAAACATTCTCACACAATCTTGAACTCTAACATGTCTAAGAGAAAAACATCCTGGTTGATATAAAATGTTTTAGTTTTGTATGTCATGTAGAACTTTCTTACATAACAATTAACATGAAATGTAAATGTACCTTTTAAAGTACATGTATAGTACAAGCATTTTATATTCATGCATGAAACCAAATTTATTTCTAGAAATGACAACAAAGAAGCTATATATACATTATTTAGGGGATCTAGACACATTTCTGTAAAAATAGAAGAAGAAAAAGTCATTTGGTATTTACGATAAAGATTCTTTTGATAAATTATCAAGTCATTATCTTTGCACATCTAAAATTTATGCTATGAAGGACTGTGGTGTTTTCACTTGGTTAATTAATTAAATGTATAGAGATAACGAACAGTATTCAGCTCAAAAATACATTAAACAAAATTAAACATATTTTGGAGCAGAGCAAACGCAGACCTCTAAAACATCAGAGGTGCAATCAGGTGACATGGAGGAGTAAGTAAGCATCCACCGCCTACCATTCACACCCACCGTGTGCTCCTTGTCATAATAAATAAAAGTTTAGTTGGTGTCTGATGAAAACAATGTGACCATAAGCAATTCATTCATCTTACTCATGAAACAAAACTTGAGAAAAAAATTTACGGGCATCCATAATTTAAAGTAAAAATGTTACTAAGTAAATAAACCACATATCAAGGGGTTTCTGTTTGTAATGAGAATAAATCTTAATCTGGCAAACCATTTGTTAAAAAATACTTCAATCTAATATAATAATCCTCTAAACTCTATTTGTCATTAGTAACCAAGAAATCTCAAGTTTAAAATGTATAAGGTAAAATTCGTTCGACGTTCGATAGAATTTTCAAATACTACTAAAAGTGAAATATTTACTGTCAAAAGCTCGGGAAATTCGCAATGTAATAAATAAATATTCATTAGACAAGTAGTGTCAACGACAAGCATTAGGAATTTATCTCCCCGCCAAATAATAAAATGTCATTTTTAGTAGAAAATGAAAGATACTTTGGGGGCAAAAACATGTTAGCAGAAAAAAAAAATTAAAAATAAATTTGACAGCGTTTGCATGGGATTTCATCTAGTGAGCTATGTATATGACTGTACAACCGGCTATCATTAATTTTTGTCACATAACTCACATTACCCAATGAAAATATGCAGTGCCTATCGTCTGATCAATAACTTGTATGGATACACATGAAGTTTAAATATAAATGTTTTACATATTTAAGATGAATGGAGTGCAGAGAAATTACAAATACAATTTTGACATGTCATACTTTAGATAAAGTGTATGCATAAAACATAAAACATAGATAACATTGAAAAATTCAAATGCTATGATCAAATTTAATAAACATACATCATGTGAAATGCATAAGCGCCTCTTCTTTTTTGTATACAGTTGAATACCAAGAACTAGAAGGTTAAATAAAAACTAAACTTCGACAACGAAAGAAAAGGGACCGGCAGATATCGCGAAATTTCTTGTTAAACAAAATGTAGACCCAAAAGTTACTAAAATAATTCAAAAAGCGCAAAACGTACAAAACAAATATTAATTGAGGACCATTTTCAATTATAAAATTGATCGGCTGTTTGGTAACTACCATATAATATTGCAAGCAAAAGAAAACAGAAAATGGGATTTCGGACATAAGATGTACAATCGTTAGAGCAGTGACAATTTTCACTGACCGCCTTGATGCTGGAGTTGGTCTGAAATCATATCTTCTTCTTGATAGTTTATAACAGAAGTATGTACTGGTACACACCAAGACAAGAACAGGAATAACATGGATACAGATTGCCCGGGTCAGACGATCATCCCTCTGCAAAAACATCTGGAAGTTTTCATTTTTGAAGCTTTTTATTGCACAGTAGAAACTGTCAGTCTTTTTCAATTCTTCAGGATACAACTTTGCAGTGATATCATAATTGTCTGTTAGGAACCGAGGAATATTGCACAAGAAAGTTATTATGTATACTGCCATGGTCCCTAGCAACAGTCTCCTGGTTGTCGTGTAAAGCTTTGCCTTTAGCGGAAAACGGACCAAAATGAATTTAACGATTCCAAGAAACATCATCAGCCAAATGGATGTCATGTTGAAGGTTATGGATAGGGTCGTTCCATATTTGTAGGTAATACATAAGAAATGAATCTGAAATTCACTTTGTGGGTCCACAGAATGGATGTGTAATGTCAGGGCGAACAAGTAGGAGATCAGGAGCAGCACCACGGACGCCATGTCAGAGAGAGCCATGCCAATCAGAATCACATTAACGCCTCCAAACCACTGTCTCCAGAAGAATAAGATGAGAATGAACATATTTGTGATAACCACCAACAGTTGTAAAAGAGCAGGAATCAAATTTAGGTAGAGTTCTTGATCCTTTGGGAACCAGCTATATCGTGCATAAAACGTGGTATACTCCATGTCCGGCTTTTACAAGGTTATCAATTCATTTCAAATTGCAACAATAAATGGAGGATACAAGGAAAGGGTATAACTTACATGATCAATTTAATCCTAATTGCTTCAAACTGAGTGTCTACTAGAGAATATAGTTAAGTAATTATCAAATTCGACCACAAATATCCAGAGGTCAGGATCACTGGGCAATAAAATATTGAAATAATTGTATAATTTCGTGGTGGACAGAAGTATCTACTTTATATGTTCATTACACATATGTTACAGAGTGAACTGAACTGAACATGTTGCAGACCGTTCGAAATTGTTTCCACGGTGCACCATTAATTACTAGTACGGTATGCAACATTAAATTAGAATCTGCCTCTAACCTATAAAGTATCAGGCCGTTATAACGATGAGTTTTATTTAAAATATAGTCTTAGTTTATTTAAAATATACTTCAAATTTAACACAGAAAAAATACTTGATCAGATCTTATTAGCCGCACGTGTACACTTCTTCTTACCCAGTAAATAGCCAAGAAGCTCAATAGTTAATTCAAAATATTAAAAATTACATTCCTTAATAAGACCCCAGGATGAAAAATTCTAAAACCTTATGCCAAAATCGCTTGGTCACCAGGTCTTCAAAAATATGAAAAAGCTACTGCTTAATTTTTGCCCGAAAAATGCTTTCTGTGTGTCTCTTACCGTCGGCCCAAAATACAAATGAAAATTTTGGCAACCTTCTTCCTCATGTACAGGAAACATATCCCATGTGTCATTTATTTCTCTTTCCAGATCTTCAGTGACCATTAAATGGAACGTATCACATGGCTTATGGAATATGTTTGGTATGTCATGTACATGAACAAGAAATTTCTAAAAATATACCTCTGCTTAAAATATGAGGAATTCTTAGAATTAAATTTTTGTACAGAAGACGTATGCCCCCTTTACCCCTTGTCCTCCCGGGTGCAAATACGGTAAAAATTTTGGAACCAATGTGTATACATCTACAGACACCTCACTGATCAGACAATGAACTGCACAATGACATGCATATATACTCGTTCATTCATGTATTTTGTTCCTCTGCGATCTTCTAACTTTTGAATTTACCGGGTGGGAGTACATACAAAAGTAAGATTTAGAAATTACAAATTAAATTATATGCTGATCGTTTATGCATCACTTGATACTTGATTGATTTGTCTGATGTCTAATGCGTTCAGCTGTCTTAAGAATACTATCCATGTCTACAGTTATGTTTGTTTCTATATGGTACCTAAGAGCCTTCGCTATAAACTTCATATTAGTGAAGGTTTCTGTGAGAAGAAAACTCGGTTGAGTTCTTTGACCTCTGTCATCCACACTCACTGGAGCGGGACATCCGTAATGGTCGCGTGATGCTCGAAATTCCAATTTTTCCTGTCCAGTTCTCTCCCTTTTGAGGTTTTCGTGCACTCTTCTGCAGACTAAGCATTCAAAGCCCTCGAAAAAAGTTATACCATCGCTGTTTCCAGAGTAATCATAGATCCACTCCCTTTCTCTCAGAACCGACAATAAATATCCATTACTTATCCCTGATTTCTTCCAATCCAAGTATTGTTGGTATTCGTCGTCGTTGTTGTCTAGGTATTTGAGATATTTAGCCAGATCTTCTACAGATTCATAGTCATCAACAACAATGGCCGATTTATTGGATGGGAAAAAGTCCTGTAACAAAGAAACTAACATTAAAAAATCAATGTAAAATAATTATTATATATACTAGTAAACAACGAAATGAAAAAAAGGCTATAGAAAACTCGTACTCGTATAAAAAAAATAACAACCAAGAGAGAAGGAATATACCTATTGTTTGTTTCGACCGTCTTAAAAAATTCTTTCTAAGATATCTAAAGTTTCAATGCATGTTACGCAAAAGCATACTCTATGTATGAAAAATTTCTAAAACGAGGTAAATTATTGAAAAACAAGTTGATGAAACAAGAATTTCAGCTGTCTTGATAAAAGTCATCATTTCGTAAGTTTTATGGTCGATATATACCGGTAATGACCTTGTCAGCAGATACAATTTATCATACTAATTGTTAGTCCATTATTTAAACACTGAATTGACGACGGATTTTAAATTACCGCTGTTTCCCGATCATGACAAGGAACACACGACAGGTGTGACCGGTCGGCAGGAGATGCTTACTCCTCCACACATGATCCCACCTCTGATATTTTGGAGGACTAAGTTTCCGCTGCTCCTACTTTGTATTGTTTGATTGACTTTTAATCTTGAATACTGTTCGTTATATCCATGTTTCATGCTATCTTTTGACAATAAAAATAATGTTGAATCCTTTACAAATCACAGATCAGTAATATTGATGGCAGTCAAAGATTACAGATTTAAGTTGAAAGGCGAAGCTATAAAAAAGGACTTCCTACTTTAACTTTTGTCGAGCCCAACACAATGGGGACTGTGCCGACGTGTAGCGGCCTCCAAAGCTTCTCCGTCACATAGTCCACACAGATGGCGTTCTCTATGGCCACGGCAAACTTGTACTTTGAGATCAGTTTGTAAAACTCCTCGTGAAACATCCCATCTATTGAATCTCTTAGACTGTAAAAGACATAGTGTCATAACCGGAAGCTAGGCCTACCTGAATACTAGTATTATTGTGGGCTGTTTTTCATTTGTGAAATGTATCATCATCCCAGACTTTTTGCAATCAATATTTTTATGTATTTTGTGGGAATACGTTTCATGAATATACGTAAAAAATAAATGTTTGCATTTTTACAGAAAGTATATACTCACTGTTTTGGTAAATCCCTGTTGTGTAGACATAGACCGTACGAGTCCACTGGTATGTATTCCATTAGTTTTCTTATGTACCCGTCTCTGTCTGAGGCTGTAGCGCAGGCGCTGTTTGTAAATATCACGGGAGCTAACTTTAATTTTTCGGCTTGCTGTTCTCTCTCCATTACACACAGCAGGTACTTTGTGCTGGTGAGCCAATCACTACTCTCCAGGAACTGGGTGATCAATGGGTAATCCGATTCCCGCCGAAATGTGCTGGTGTGATTGAACAAAGTCATCACTTCCTCAAACGAAAAAAGATAGTTGTTTTTGGGAGATTCCTCGTGAAGAAGTGCCCATTCATGATGAGGTTCTCTAGGCAGTGGAAGATCGGCATACTGAAATGATGTCCCGTAAAACATGAAAACCTAGAATAAGAAAAAATAAGGGAAATTCCTCGTGAAGAAGCGCCCGTTCATAATGAGGTTCTCTAGGCAGTGGAAGATCGGCATACTGATACGATGTCCCGTAAAACATGAAAATCTAGAATAAGGAAGATTTAAATATTGGACCGGTCGGCAGGTGATGTTTACTCCTCCATGACAACTGATCCCACCTCTGATGTTTCGAAGTTCTCGTTTGCATGGACTTTGAGCTTGAATACTGTTCGTTATCTCCATGCATATATTTCACACAGAATTGTCGACAAATTTTTCGCTATTTTTCGATCATGACAAGGAGTACACGGCCGGTCATTTCATACTTGACAAAAATAATTTTCATAGGTTCCATTCGGTAGCTTAGTGGGTAGAGTGTTCTCTCCGTGATCGGAGAGGTCGTGAGTTCGAATTTCAGCCGCTACTGACCTTAGTCGATAAAAAATGGGTAGCAAATGTTCCTTCGCCATGCGCTCGGCACTTGAAGTGAAAGTTGCGGTTCCTTCGCATGAGCCCTTTAAAAAAAAAAATTAGGGCCAGATCACGGCATTTGTTGGCACGATAGAGATCCCATTCTGCTCAATGACCCTGAGTGGCGAGTAAAGGTCAAAATTTGAAGCCCTTCACTGGTTTATGGTGACGTCTCTACATGAGTGAAAAATTCCCGAATGGATTCAATCAATCAGCGACTGACTGACCTTGGTGAGTGGATTTCTGGTATAGCTCCTGTTTCCGGTGATGAAGCACGTGACATCCCCACACTTCCTGTAGATGTCCTTCTGATCATCGCCGTCCGTCCACCACAAAATGATCGGATCTGCCATTTCTAGCTCCCCCGAGTGACCTTGAATTATAATTATTTTTTGTTTTTTAAAAACTGGGTTTCTTTTTCCATCTCGTAATATTTCATTGTTTCTTTTCTTTAAAAAAATTGAATAACTTGATAAGTAACTTAAAATTATGAGATCACTACGTACATGTAGAAATCAATAGCTTAAAATACAATTTGCTAAAGAAGTATTCAGAGCTTTGAAACAAACTCTACTACAGAAATCATTTTTAAATATTCGGTGTTATATCTGACATTTGAAAGGTTTTCCATTCTCTACATACATGTAGTTTCTTTCCTAAATGAAATATGAATTCAAATCATTACAAATTCTAAGAATCTGAGGTTTAAAAATGAAATGGAAAAAATTTGAATACTTGCTCCAATTGCCAGTACGAGCATCAGTAACAACAATGCCAGGAAAATAACAAAGAAGCACAGGATGAAACAGCGGAACCAACGTTTAATTCGCATAATAGAAAGCCAATGAGGAAAACATTCTAGGCATAATGATACATTGTTTATTGGGGTCACAAATTTCGTTGTCAGAGAAAATATTATCAGTATTGGTCACCTAGATAAGGCCTCAAGAATACAATGAACGACTGCATTAAGGTTCTTTCTTTATAATGCTATACATCGATCATTAATACTGACGGATATGCCACTATTTCTCTTGGTGTACAATTCAATCAAAAGGGAAAATAAATTTTATATTATTGAAAGATTTATTGAAAAATATACCTGTATATGAATGAAATACATGCGTTTATTGATGTGTACGATAAAATCAAAACCACCTATGAATAAGAAAGAACCTGAGATCAATGAAAATATATTATAAATAAAAAAGCATAATAAAACAAGATGCATTTGTAATACAATGATGCCCCCGTATGACAGCCTATGGCGAAGGTTTAAAAGTTTCTAAAATGCATTAAACTTCAAGGTCAAGATAGATTTCAGAGAGGACTTGTAAAAATGAATATACGTGTGAAAAATGAAAGGTCAAGAATCAACCATTCAAAGTTAAAGCCAAAGTAAAATTTTAAAAAGAGGGTCAAACTCCAAGTTCTAAGTAGAAATGAATGATATCCACAGAAAATATATTTCGACTAATTAAAGGACCTAGCACAAACTGTTATAAAGATGTTGTCAAAATTAAAGTTCCTCAAATATCAAAGATCACACATTAAATATTAAAGTCATAGATCCAAGCATAGTAGGTTATAGCAAGTTAGAGTATTTTCAAAGAGACAGACAAATAGATTAACATGCAAACTGAAAGACAGGGCAAAAGCTATGTTCCCCTGAATCTTCAAGTTCGGGGGCATAATTAAACTAAAGATATTGCAGCGCAAGCCTTAACACGTTTAATTCTCTACTCTGGAATTCTGCTTTTCTCCTGGTTTTTCCTTCTATACAAAAACCAGAAGTCTCTGTCGAGACTGTAGCTCTACTGGTTTGAACTTATACCAAAGGATGAGAAAAGAAGCCATTGCCATTAGACCAAAACTGTAGAAGGAGTAGAGTTTAAAGAAATTTCACAGACATTTCTATTTTTAGTAACAATGGCAACACCTTTCATCGAAATCAAAAAACAATGCACTATTTAATGTATATTATATCTTGGTGTAGTCTACTTGTGTGCCAAGTTATATTGAAATCAGATCAAAACTGTACGAGGAAAAGCATTTTAAAGAATTTTCACAGAAAATTCTATTGTTAGTAACCATGGCAACACCGTTCATCGAAATCAAAAACCGATGCACTATTTTATGTATCTTAGTGTAGTCTACTTTTGGTGCCAAGTAATATTGAAATCAGATCAAAACTGACGAAGGAGTAGCGTTTTAAAGGAATTTCACAGAAAATTCTATTTTTAATATATTTCATCGAAATCAAAAACCGATGCACTATTTTATGTATCTTAGTGTAGTCTACGTTTGGGCTTATCACAAAACTGAAGAAAAGGAATTTCACACACATTAAATATTCAAAAACCGATGCATTATTTTATGTATCTTAGTGTAGTCTACTTTTGGGCCAAGTAATACTGGAATCAAACCAAAACTGTAGAAGGAGTAGCGTTTTAAAGGAATTTCACAGAAATTTCTATTTTTAGTAACCATGGCAACACCGTTCATTGAAATCAAAAACCGATGCACTATTTTATGTATCTTAGTGTAGTCTACTTTTGGGCCAAGTAATATTGCAATCAGATCAAAACTGAAGGAGTAGCGTGTTAAAGGAATTTCACAGAAAATTCTATTTTTAGTAACCATGGCAACACGTTCATCGAAATCAAAAACCGATGCACTATTTTATGTATCTTAGTTTAGTCTACTTGTGTGCCAAGTTACATTGAAATCAGATCAAAACTATAGGAGGAGTTGCATTTTAAAGGAATTTCACAGAAAATTCTATTTTTAGTAACCATGGCAACACCGTTCATCGAAATCAAAAACCGATGCACTATTTTATGTATCTTAGTGTAGTCTACTTGTGTGCCAAGTTATACTGAAATCAGACCAAAACTGTAGGAGGAGTAGCGTTTTGAAAAATTGTTTACAAAAAACATATGAACACAAACAACACCTTACTATCGCATAAGCTCTTCTGGTCTCTGACCAGTAGAGCTAAAAATGAACACAAACAGCATATAGCCCCAGCAATAAAAAAAAATATAACCTACTAGAAATACTGTAGATCCTTTATTTTTGTGAGTATTTATGATTGCAGATGGGCTCTTCAGCGTCAAATCGCAAGAATATTAATTCGCAAATGGACGGTTGATTAAGAAATTTTACATAGATTTCAGCACCATAAAATAAAGGTGAGTAATTTCATTTCATGTGTGAAGCTTCTCACATAATTATGCGTTCATTCCACACATATATTTAGGAATCTACAGTAACAAAATAAGCAATGATGTTTCAAAATCAGATTGGTATTATATAGCTATCTTGACCTTGAGGTCAATTATTACATTACTAAATAAATAAAATGCCTAGCATTGATATAATAATGGATTTCAACAAAAAAAATTAATCAATGCCATTATGATGAGGTCATTGCTAGACATAACAAGAGGCCCAGGGGCCACAGCGCTCACCTGAGCACACCAGCTAGGAAAAAGCACATATCAGATCAGAACTAAAAGTTTACCGAGGTGGGGGGGGGGGGGGGGCTTTAATTTATACCCCCCAGGGGATCATGATTTGAACGAACTAGAATCTACATTACCTTAGGATGATATATATAAATATTACTAATCATGGCTTTGAAGTACTTGAAAAGAAGATTTTAAAAGGTTTCCCTATATATTCCTATGTAAAACTTTAATCAGCCATATTCGCCCCACCCTACTCCCAAGGGTCATGATTTGAACCCACTTGAATCAACACTACCTGAGGATGATTCCACATGAGTTTCATCTTTCCTGTTTCTATGCATCTTTAGAAGAAGATTATTAAAGATTTTTCCTATATATTCCTATGTTAAACCTGGATTCCCTATTGTGGCCCCGCCCTACCCCGGGGGTCATGATTTGAACAAACTTGAATCTACACTACCTGAGGATGATTCCACCTGACTTTCATCTTTCCTGGCCTATTGGTTCTTGAGAAGAAGATTTTTAAAGATTTTTCCTATATACTTCTATGTAAAACTTTGATCGGCCATATTGGCCCCACCCTACCCCCAGGGGACATGATTTGGAACAACTTGAATCTACACTACCTGAGGATGATTCCACATGAGTTTCATCTTTCCTGGCCCAGTGGTTCTTTAGAAGATGATTTTTAAAGATTTTTCCTATATACTCCTATGTAAAACTTTGATCAGCCATATTGGCCCCACCCTTCCCCCGGGGGTCATGATTTGAACAAACTTGAATCTACACTACCTGAGGATGATTCAACATGAGTTTCATCTTTCCTGGCCCAGTGGTTCTTGAGAAGATTTTTAAAAAACACCATTAATTTTTCTCTAATTCATAATTATCTCCCCTTGGTAAAGGGCGTTACCCCTCATTTGAACAAACTTGAATCCCCTTTACCCAAGGATACTTTGTAGCAAGTTTGGTTGAAATTGGCCCAGTGGTTCTTGAGAAGAAGATGAAAATGTGAAAAGTTTACAACGACGACGACGACGACAACGACGGACAAATTTTGATCAGAAAAGCTCACTTGAGCCTTCGGCTCAGGTGAGCTAAAAAGGCAGAAGCCAAATATTGTACAATGCACAAAAATATTGCTTTCAAACAGATAAGGATAATACAAAAAGTTGTTAATATTTTAGGAATGTAACATCCTACATGTACTTTTTGCAGAAATAAATGCTATAAATGAATAACAGTTTTTGGATATATATGTAAACATTTTAAACAAGAAAAAAAATAAATTACATATCTATAGAAATCTGATCTCAGATCAAAAGTATAAATATATAATGTGTGTACATGTTCTTATTATACATGGAGGACAAAAAGTTCTATACAGCCAATATACGTTTCTTTGTACATAAAAACTAAAAGTTTTGTACAGCAAATTATAAAAGTTTCTGAAATACCTAAAAAATATTTGAGCAAATCTTTGATAATTTTTCTTTGATTTAAAATACATCCAAAAAGAAGGAACCAAATATAAATAAAAAGACAAAGATGATATTGTACAGTTATTGTCATCTAAGATCCCCTGCTGCTCTGAATCGATTTGCAGTGCTGGCTATACTACTACGATCTATAGTTTTATTCATATCTAAATGAAACCTTAATGCTTTTGCATAATATTTACTGTTGAGGTATTCATAACCCCAGTCATCATTTTTCAAAGTCCTTTTACCATTGTCATCGAACTTTGATGGAGCTGGACAGCCATAATGATCAACAGTTGCTTGAAATTTTAATTTTTCTTTGCCTTTTTTCTCACGTTGTATATTTTCATGTATTCTTTTACAGACAAAACACTCAAATCCATCAATGAAGTTTATTGCATCGTTGCTGGTGTAATCATTAATGGCCCACTCTCTCTCTTTAAGAATTTTTAATAAATACTGATTTTTTATTCCTGTTTTCTTCCATTCCATATATTTGTCATATTCCTCATCATTTTCATCTAAGAATTTAAGGTATTTAGCCAGATCCTCTATCGAATCAAAGTCATCCACAATAATGGCAGATTTATTGGAGGGAAGCAAATCCTGTTTAGAAGTAACATGATATGATTAACTTGTGTGTAAATTGACAGCAGATGTTGACTAGAGCAGTGTACCTATTGATTTTAATGTGCTGTCAAGTCCTTCCAAATCATTAAAATAATATAACAATAGATCACTTTTATCCATCCAAAACTGTACATTTTACTGTACAACAGTTTTATTTTGCTGATATTACACCTTTACTCCAAGTTTTTCAAAAATTGAAATTCAACTTTTTTTATGAATTCCCCAATAAAAATGTATATAAAAGAATTCTGTATTAAAAGCAAGTTAATGAAAGGCTCTGTGTAATTAGTTTTGAAAAATAAATATATTGAAGAAAACCTTACCTTGATCCGTGGTGAACCAATGACAATAGGAATAGTTCCCACAAACAATGGCCGCCACAACTTCTCTGTCACGTAGTCATTACAAATACCATTCTCCATCGCAGCGGCAAATTTATACTTAGCAATAAGTTTGTAGAAATCATCATGAAACATTCCTTTTAATGGATCCCTCAGACTGGTAAACAAATCAAAATGAAGAATAAATAAGTGAAGTTGTCATGCTGTAAATTTTGTATTTACTGCCACACAGTAAATTCAAAATTTACAACATGACAATAGGGAGATCCTGATTATAACTTTCAGGAAGGAAAGGGATAAAAGAGCATGTCCATTTTCAAAGAGAGGAATGCCAACTAGCATAACCACACAGTAGCATTAAAGATTTGGTAAATTAAGAAGAATTCATTTTTACCTTTCTATATCTATACTGTTTGCTAGAACAAACAGGAAATACATGTACACAAGATATGTTAAACAATGACTTACTGATCAGGTAATTTTTTGTTATGTAGACAGGAGCCATAAGAATCAATCTTGATGTGGTTCATCAGTTTATATACAAAGCCATCCCTGTCAGAGGGTGTACCACAGTCACTGTGTGCATAGATCATCGGGGCCAGGTGTAGAGCCCTGGATTGTTCTGTCTTCTCTTTGGCAGACAGAAGAAACATGGAGCTGAACAACCAGGCAACACTGTCTATATACTGGGTGGTGATTGGGTAGTCCGACTCTCTCCTAAATGTGCAGGTGTGATTGAACAAGGTCATAACCTCCTCAAAGGAGAACAAGAAGTTATTTTTGGGAGATTCCTCATGAAGGAGGGCCCATTCATGGTGGGGTTTCCTTGGCAGTGGTAAGTCAAAGTATTTAAAGTCTGTTCCATAAAACATGAACACCTGAAAAATATTTTAATGCATCTATTCCAATCATCAAATTTGAAGATGTTATTTAAACAGGGTGGGGTTAAGATTCATTTAAAACAATCATTTCCTGAATTTTTCTGTAAACATCAAAGGAACCGGTAATAAATTATGCTTGATCAAATGAAAATCAGGTTCTGAAGTCTGTCAAATGCTGGTAAACAAAGACTATAGACTCAACCACCATTAAAACATATTTTCTCATTTAGTTTTTTCCCCCATTTTTACATCTGACCTTAACTATTAACAGAACTATGACAGTTTTTTCTTAACCCACATAATCAGGGCAACTTTTTTTTCTTAAGCAAGAGACTGAGCAGAGAACAGCTGTCATTTCAGGAAACTGCATGCAATTTGGAAGGCAGAAAGTGATTATTCATAGATGTTCTAGAAAGATTGCCAACCTACTTTTGTCTGTGGGTTATTCCTGTAGTGCCTGTTAACTGTGAAGTAACACTTAACATTTCCACACTTCTTGTACCTTCCAGGTTCCCCAGTAAATGGAGTCCACCAAAGAATGATTGGCTCCGTTATTTTCTCCTCTGATTTCTTTTTCTCCTCATCTGGATTTAAATCTTCTGGGTCTACAAATACCGGTATACATTATCATATCTGTATATTTCTCAATTTTGTGTGTATATCTATTTATGTAATAATTCTGAAATACTAAAAGCCTCTTGAAGTCTGTGAAGCATAGGATATGTTCATTAGAACGATTAGATTAAACACCTTACCATCATAATGTGGTTGAAAGACATGGTTATCTCCATCATAATTCTGAAAAAATAAAAACAGGGACACCTTAACTAACACAGACAAAAACATTCCTCACTGTAGATTGAAAGAGGGTCTCTTGTGTTCAATAATATAGATCACAGAATATTGTATAGACCAGATTTTTTTCATTTTAAGAATAATATCAAACAGTTAAAATATTAAATCTCGCTTTAATGTCAACATAAAATCTTCCGCTAACCTATATGTCAATGACTTGTAATTTACTTTCACTATTTAACGCAAAAAATTGGCAATTCTTGAAACTTTCATTCACCCAAGGCCTCACAGAAGAGTACAAACCTTATACAATCTATAAGTAAACATTACATGAGCAAATTCGGGAAAGGTTTTGTGACGTGTGAAAGTGAAAGTTGATCAACTAGGCGTGAATTTGTAATTACCTCTCCGCCGTACAGCATCATCGCAATAAAAATAGCAAAAAATATGAGGACAAAACACAATATAAACAATTTAAATGCATTTTTAACGCGCATTCTCCAAGTATTATCTCATTTGATGATGGAAAGATTGGAGAAAAATCGTCAGTCACCGATTAATCTGGTCACCCTGGAGAAGGACCAGTTTAATGGTGTGTGTAAAACTAGTTCATATTTGCTGAGCATGAAAGGTTCTCTGACAGGCAAGGCGGCGAGGCCTGTGCCTCCCTCTAAGTTGTAAAGTTGTTATCAAAAATTTTCAGTATGAAACTACGAATGATCATCTTTTTTATTTAATCACAGATTTAAAAAATACAGGTACCCTTGACATATTTGAAGAAGCTAACGTTAGATTCTTCAAACTTCAGTCTTTAATTCCACCATGCATATATCAAAGTAAAAAACTACACTCTGCATTTCCTACAGATAATCAAAACCGTTGCTTCCATACTTTTTAATAATAAACAAATCTTACAGAGTCAATATGGAACGCCAATTAATTAACATATATTCAAATATTTGTACTGTACGTCCTATCTTCAAATAATTGTACCTATCTTCAAATCAATCGTACCTATCCTCAAATCAATTGTACCTATCTTCAAATCAATTGTACCTAGTATCTTCAAATGAATTAGAGATAGGTACAATTCAATTCAGTTCCATAGTCTATAGACATATAAAAAATCCTCTCAAGTGTCTTACTTGCTCTTCTCGATGACCCAGTATACATACAGATACACAACAATAGTCCCACTGGAAACGTCATAACTTGTGATGTTAATATAATTAAAAATGAAGATCGTAAAACAACAATCTTAAAAAGTCTTAAATGTAGGGAGCCCTGACCCGGTCTTTGAAACTGATTGGCGGCAGAACACTTAAACTCATTTCTGTTATGAATTCTGTCTCTAGATTATGCAAGACTTTGGGCTTCATATGGAAAGAAAGATATTCAGACACTTTGTCAGAAGGAATTTAATGTTTGAAAAAAATTAAAAATAGTATAGGGTCGGTATGAATGACTTTGTAAGCAAAATATAAGCCATCATTCGTTAGTGTCTGCTAGATGTTGTGTGATGCATCTAGTGTGTTGGTATTGGTGTTGGTGTGCTTGTCACCTCTCGCTTTCAGCCCGCACTGCTGGCTAGCAGTATTGCGAAAAGGAAGCAATTTCTAAGTTTCCCCCCGCCAGTACATATCCTCCCCTCAACAAGTCCTATGCGATGCCTCCACGTGGAAGCAGACGGAAACTGGGCACCATTTGGCCCCAGGCTAACTTCGCAAGGGTGCAGGGGAAGATGAGGCTCGAAAGCCTTAGTCGGCAACTCATCTAAGGGAGAAAACTCTGACTACAATCCGGATTTAGTAGGAGACCGTTAGCAACTATTATGCTGGCCCGAAGACATAAACTTGGAGGTTGGATTTGAGGCTAATCACCCCCTTCCATAAAAAACAATTGATTACGGAAACTGTTACAACAATTAGTACCACGGAAGGAAGGGCAAGCGCGACATGCAAGATTCCAGATGAGGATTACATTCATTGGAAATCGAGAGAATGGCGGCAATTAGGAAAAGCCGAGAGGACCCTAATAGCTTGAAAGGAACGCAGATGTCATCTATAACGACACCTAAAAACGTCAACAAGATCGGATGTTGGAACGTAAGAAAATGTTCTAGATTGGAAAACAGCTAACATCGCAAGAGAGTTTAACAGATATGAGTTGGACATAATGGGACTGAACGAAGAAAGACGGACGGGCTTTGATTAACTAAAGAAAACCTCTGGAGAGACCATCTTGTACTCCGGAGCTGAAGAACATCATAGAGGAGTAGGACTAAATACTTAGCATGAAAAGCCGAAAAAGCGTGATGGAATGGAGTCTTGTTATGACAGAATTATCAGCGCACACTTTTTCTCCCGCTTTGCTAAGCTAACAATAATACAATTATACAGCCCAACAAACGAAGCAGTCGAAGCGGATAAAGAAACCATCTATGAACAGCTTGTGAAATTGCAAAAATGCCAAAGCATGACATACTGATGGTAATGATGCAAATGCAAAAGTTGGAAAGTCGAATGAAGGATGGGAAAGAGTCATGGGACCAGAGGGCATTGGGACTATGAATGAAAACGGCATGAGGTTAGCAGAAATGTGTACTCTTAATAATTTAATTATATGCGGAACACTCTTTAAGCACATTGACATACACAAGCTTACATGGGAGTCACCTAATGGAAGAGTTAAGAACAAAATTGGCCATGTCATGGTGAATGGCAGATACAGAAAAATCAGTATGTGGCGTAACGGTTATGCATTGTGCAGACGCCAATTCAGATCAACATCTAGTACTGGCTAAAGTAAAGATGAAGCTCTGCAGAAACTTAATAAAAGCCAAAGGAAAGCAACAGGAAGATATATGATGTCAATAAGCTGCAAGATCCAAGAGTAAGCAAAAGATTCCAACTTGAATTAAGAAATAGGTTCAAGCAACTGACTGATGATGAAAACACAATCAATGAAAAAGGAAAAATCTGGAAAATATAGCTAACCAAGCAGAGAATGCAGCAAATACAAACGGTCTGAGCGAAGTTAACCGACTTACCAAGCAGCTTTGTGGGGAAAAAGAAACAAGCCAAGTAGCATAAGGTCAAGAATGGTGAACGAATCATTGAGGATGGAAAAATATTAGAGTGATGGAAAGAACATTTTTAAAAGGTCCTTAATGTCCCAACAGAAACAACAGAATAACCTAAAGGATGCACCATCCAAGAGAACAGAATTGATGAAACTGACAAAACAGTAATAAGAGAGGAGGTCGAAAAAGCAATCCAAAAATGAAGAATGGAAAGAGTCCCGGCATAGATATCATCAATGCCGAACTACTAAAAGAGAGCGTATCATATTCAATATCAGACAAATTTTATTCAACAGAATCATCAGTGAGCAGGAAATACCAACAGACTGGAAGAGATTTCTCATTATCAAATACCCACGAAAGGGGATTTGACAATATGTGAGAACTATAGAGTAATATCACTACAATCAGTGCCATCTAAAGTATTTTGCAAGACCAGAACAGGCACGTAGCATCGTTTATGAAAGTGGGGGGGGGGGGGCCAACCAGAGAAAAAAATTTTTTACTTACCTGAAAAAGTTGAAAAAAAAAAAAAAAAAAAATGCAAAAGTTAAATGTCGCCCAAAGTCGAAAATCCTATTTTGTAGGGGGGGGGGGGGGGGGGGTTAGTGGCCAACTTTTTCAAAGCCAAATAACTTTCACTTCCAATTTTTTTCCAACTATTCCTTGATAACACTATACTGTGGTAAAAAGTGGGGGGGGGGATTTGACAACCTTTCTTTCAGCGAAAATTTCCTATAGGAAAGGTAATGTTGGCCAAAAAGTGGGGGCCAGTTAGCCCCCCCCCTGGCCCCCCCGGATGCTACGTCCCTGCAGAATAAGCTGCATATCGAAGAGGAAGCGGAACATCAGAACAGATTTATCTTCTAAGAAATATTTTAGAACAATCTATAGAGTGACAAGCCCCACGGTACATAAGTTTCATAAACTTTAAAAAAAAACCAGCCTTTGACAGCATAATAAGAGAGAAACTGTGGGACATACATGTACTAAGGCAGTGTGGAATTCCTGACGTATATGAAGACATCATCAAGAAATTATACAATGGAAGTTCTAGTTGTTTAATAGAGAATAGAAGAACAGCAGACTGGTTCAAGGTACAGAGAAGAGTGAGACAAGGTTGTGTTATGTCTGGGTTCCTGTTTATCATTGTGGTCGACTGGATAATGAGAAATACCAACAATAAGAAGAGAGGCATACGCTGGAAATTTATGTCCACATTTGAAGACCTGAATTATGCAGACGACCTTGCATTTATTTCCAACAAACACAGTAACATGCAAGAAAAGACCAGCAGATTACATGATGTTGCGGAATATACCGGCCTAAAAATTAATGTTGAGAAAACAAAAAGCATGAGAGTTAATGGAAAGACGACGGATGTCATCAGGATAAATGATAAAGAAATAGAAGAAGTCGACAAATTTCTCTTCCTGGGTGCCACAATGGATAAGACCGGAGGAACTGAAGCAGATATATGGAGAAGGCTAGGCTTAGCCAGGACCGCCTTTGCATCGCTTGCCAAAGTATGGAAGTCAGCACAATAAAGCACAAAGAACAAACTTAAGATCTTGAATACAAATGTTCTGTCTGTGTAGCTGTATTGACCTGAACTATGGAGAACAACAGAAAAAGACGACGAAAAATTTGAGACGTTCCATTGAAAATGCCGTTGGAGGATCTTAAAAATACACTGGCCTGAAAAGATAACTAACCAAGAACTGTATGAAAGATTGAAATCCATACCTCTATCAAGGACCATCAAAGGAAAGAGGTGGAGATGGATAGGCCAAATCCTCCGAAGGGAAGAGAGCCCACGCACATGGGCCCCTGAGGGAAAGAGACGAAGAGGACGCCCACAGAACACCTGGCGACGCTCTGTTGAAATGGACAGAGAAGAACTGGGCTGGAACAGTTGGAAGGAGGGAAGGGTTGTTGACAGTGACAGCCGTGAGTAGCGTACTTTGTTGAACGGCCTCATGCGTCCTCCGGGGCACGGAGAGGAGAAGTAAGTATTCGGTAGTATTTTTGCATGACTTGTTAGGCGTTTGTTTAAATACTGAAATGAACTACACATATCTGATCAATACACAGGGCTCACGGAGAGTGTGACCAATCAACAGGATGCTTAGTCCTATTAGGTACCTGATCCCATCTCTGGACTCTAAAGGAGTTTTGTATCGGTTTAATTATAGATTTTTTTTCGAGATCGATCACTGTTTATTGGAATCACCTATTTCATTTGAAAATAATTTGTTGTAAAAAATATTATTTTGATTGATCGATATATAAGAACCCCCACCCCTTGAAGGGTTAATTTGTATTGATATAATTTAAAAAGGCCTTATAACACAAAATGAAAAGACGTTTTTATACGCCATTTGACAGGCCTCTATCAATTTTTTTTTTATTTTGGAAGAGGGGAACAGCTTCCCAAAAATTCGACAAGCACAGATTTAATTAATTAATTAATTAATTAATTGCCAAACTCGAAAATCCTGATTCGTTTGTGATGATGGTGGATTTTGTATCTTTCTCCTACTTGCAGAAAAGTCTCTTTAATGCAAGGATTTTCCAGAGTTTTGAAATACATCCAGCAATACAGCGTATGTGTGGGGACAAAGAAGGGCAGGCTTTAAATGAAACTTTAAATATATCTCATTTTATTGGATTTTAAGTGTAATAATTTACACATTTATATATATAAATGCTTGTACATGTATACATATATTCATATGACATTATTTTTTAAAAGTTGATACCGGGAATGCCCAAGAAAATAATTGACGAGTAATACAACACCTAAAATCTCCACAAACTACCAGCACAACTGTACTCCGGTCCGTGTAACACTTAACAATTCAAATTTCTACAAGGATTTTGAGTTTTATAATGTTAATATATTAGTTCAAATTTTTTTCAAAAACTCAAAATGATTTGGTATATTGAAATTTAATATTTTTGTGCAAAAATCTAAAATGTGAAATTTCCAAACAGGTTTTAAAATTTTAATATTTTAGATTTTAACCTTAAAAAATCAAAATTCAAATTTCCAAAAACAATTTTTGTAATCTAAACGTTTGAGTTTTTAGTCTACTGTTTGTTCAGAAAGTTTACATTTAACAATCTATAGTTCAGTAATATTTTTCGTCTTTTGATTATTTGAAATCAGCTTCAAACTTCTAAAATCCAACTTTGAAGCCTTTTAGATTTTTAGAAATTTGAAAGTTTGCTTCAAATAAGCTAATTTCAAATAAACTGAACACTTTGAGTTTTAGAATTTTACTTTAACAATCCAAAATACCAAGTTTCCAAACCCGATTTGAATTTTGAATATCCGCTCAATATTCTAACTATCTTAAAGCTCTTTTTCTTAACCAACAGTGTTTTTGTAATAGTTTCAAAATTCAAACCAGGTTTGGAACTTGATATTTTGGATATTTGAAGTAAATATCTAAAAACTCCAAGTGTTTTGGTTATTTGAAATTTGAATGTTTAAATCAAAATTCTAAATTTCAAAAAATGTAAAACGTTTCGAAAGTTGAAATTTAAAAGTTTGAAGTAATTTTGAAATATCAAAAATCGTCAAACTGTACTGAAATTTAAATTGTTAAGCGTAAACTTATTAAATAAACGGTAGACTAAAAACTCAGAAGTTTAAAATTTGTTTTTGGATATTTGAATTTTGAATGTTTAAGGTAAAAATCTAAAAACCTACAAATTTTAAAACCTGTTTGGAAATTTGAAAATTTAGGTTTTTGAAATAAAATATTAAACTCCAATATACGAAATCGGTTTGAGTTTTTGAAATTTAGAAATTTGAACTATTATATTAACATTCTAAAACTCTAAATCGTTTTAGAAATTTGAATTGTTAAGTGTTACACGGACCGTACTCCACATAAACAGTCGAGATATTGTTATCAATTTTGAATAATTTCCCTTAAGACCATTTACAAAGAAAGAAAATAAATCAAAGAACTCAGTATCAATATATTTTAACTTTTGCAAATCACGGAAGTAAATTCTTTTTGGAAGTTGCCCTTTTGAATGGAAAGCACTGATATATCTTCACATTCTATGTAGAAATTCCTGTATCAATAAGAAATTTTAACTTTCAAATATGAATAACTTAATACAGTTACAACTGGTATACAGTATCTAGTATAACAGATGTCAAGGCATTCCCAGGTTGTCAATTCAACATTTTTATCAATGGGAATGACCACGTGTTATCTTCAGACTGAAGACCTCAGGTAAAATAAGACCAATATCGTCAAATGTAAATTAGCAAACGTAGCTACAAAGATCACAGGTAAGGCATTATAACAGTAAACATTAAAGGCATTGCATGAAACTTAATTAATATTTGTATATCCTTTGCTTTAAGTATAACCAATGTCATATGCCAATGGTTGAATTCTTTAAAGCATTCTGACTTATTTGGCCAGTAATTGATCTAACCATAATGAATATATCACATCTGTTCCTCATGCTATTGACCTAAAGAAAAGGATTTATTGACCCACCTTTACTATGGCCAAGTCTAGGCAAAACAATCAATGCAACACGTTGTTGGCGTCTAAATATAAAGTATCATCTCTATTTCTTGAAGAAAAGAATCCCACTGAAGGGTTTACCTTCATTTCATTTTGAAAGTCGTTTAATTAAAATTATTTTCACTTTTGAAAAGAAAAAAAAAACATGTTCTTATTGGAATTAAAATCAGAGGGCGAATTTCAACCTTGGGATGCTACTCAACAAGAGTATAGTATACATGCATAATTTATAAGCAGTGCATCTTCTGTGGCAAACAATCAATTCCTTCACTTCACGCCGATAGTGGGATTACCTATAATATGATTTGTTAGGTCTGTTATAATTGATATGTTCTTTGTTATATTTATTGAGCTTTAATTTGTAAATGAGAAGAGGACATGGCTTACATACACGTAACGATCAAATCTCAAAGGAACAAGGTGATTACTTCAGCACAGCAGGTATGTTTATGTTTTTATCCTTTACAAAGGATCGTGAGTTGTATTATTATCAAGAGGTACAGACCTTCACTTTAGGTCTATGCTAGAGGCAATAGAATTTTGGAAAAAATAACTTTTACAAGTAATCTTAGATGATTGCTTGAATTACTATAGTTATATATTTTCTGATTACACAGATTTACAGAATTTGTGTTAATAATAATAAAAAAAGCTTAATCTTTAAGGTTTTTAACTTATAGATTTCACAACTTTGACATTTTAGAATTGCAGCATAAAAGTCTATTGCCAGCCATCCTTAGGTAAGGTTCTTTATCATTTTTCTCTAGAACCTCTTATCTATTAATGAAATAATGCAGATTAACATTTAATTTTTTGTTTCTTTGTAGGAAACTGAAGAAATATCGATGTCATCGTAAATACTTGTACCCAATAGGTCTCGTGTTTCTTCTTCTTATTTTGCTCTACGGTGCGAGTTTTCTTTATTTTCTTTTTCTCACAAGCTTCAAGAAATTTCATTGGTATGTGTCGTATAATAAGGTAAAATAAGGATAAAACTAATGTTTTATAGGAATAAACTCAAACAACAACTTGTATCTGGTAGAAAGGAATCTCCATCAATCTGGTTTTAAAAATGGCATTGATAACATTACAAACCTCCATCCTACCATCCTGTGGTGGACAGCATACGGCGGGAAAACAGATGAGAATATTACGTGTGGAGAGATAAAATGTCGAGTCAGCGTGGACAGGACTCTAAAATCTCATAGGGATGTTAAGGTGAGTTGACCTTCTTCTGAAGGAACTATAAAGGTGAAGATAACAGCAGTGATTGATATAAACAAATCTATAAGCAATATAAATCCGAGAAGAGGGAATAACATACCGACCCCTGGAAATCCAGAGATAGAATCAGGTGCCTAGAAGGAGCAAGTATCCCCTGTTTATTTATTTATCTGTTAAGGTTTTACATTGAAAGATACCCATCAAATAAAGTTGTGAAACAATGCAAATATTTGTGCAACATATAGTTAAGATTATAAATAAATGTGTTTTTAAAATAAAATCTTGTTTAAAAAGAAATTCAAGTTTACAATATTTAATCAGAAGACCGACTTCTTTATCAATACAGACCTGAAACCATTTATTATATCCACAAAGGCCATCGTATTTTACGGAACCTCACTAGAGTTAGCGGATATGCCACTACCCCGTAATCCAGACATCATCTGGGCTCTGAAACACGAGGAATCTCCTAAAAACAACGACTTCATGTTCTCCCACGAGGAAATAATGACTCTGTTTAACTACACATCAACCTTCAAAAGGCAGTCCGATTACCCTCTCCCCACTCAGTCGCTTCCTAATCTGGATTACCTACTGGTGAGTACTCTTTAAATTCTAAACACTTATTAGTAAGTACTCTATCAGTACATGTTTCTTTCTTTTCTTAGTATACGTTTCTTCCAAATCTTAGTTGCTTATTGGTAAGTACGGTACTATACCTGTATCTTCCTACTGTTGAATACTCATAGGTGGGTATTCTTATTACCTACATATGGTGTATACATCTCCCAACTTGTTCAAGTTCATGTACCAAGTTCGATAATTTTTTTAATTGAGACAGAAAACAGATAGAAAAGTTGATGATACAGGGCCATTATAATGACCTTGATAGCAAACAAACCTTGCTCTTATTGATATTTTGGACATTTCGTTTCCTAATCATCAGGATACAACCTTTGTTGTGGACACTAGAACTAAGTCTGAGCTGAGGAGGACAGAGGATTTGGCCCCCATGCTGTACGTTCAGAGTGACTGTGGGGCCCCCTCAGACAGAGACGAGTATGTTAAACTCCTCCAGAAGTACATCCCCGTGGATTCCTACGGAAAGTGTCTACACAATAAAGACCTTCCAGAACAGTCAGTAAATTCAAAATCCTCCAAATCAAGGGCCATAACGCTTTCTTTCACTTTTAAGAAATGAAAAGATAATCATTTATTTTAAAAGCCAAATATTATAATTGAAAAAAAAAATTTCGTAGGATATTTACACATTTTTTTTATATTTTAATTTTATTGAAGCCATTACAATAACTTACCCGGGTAGTTATGTTTCTATATACATTTATTTTTTTATTCTCTAGCATTAGATTTGATTTTGGTAAAAGCATGACTGGTATGCACCACGATGACTTCTTCAAGCTAGCAGCAAAATACAAATTTACTTTAGCCATGGAAAATGCTGTTTGTGACGACTACATGACAGAAAAATTATGGCGCCCGCTAAGACTGGGATCTTTGCCGATTATATTCGGTTCACCTAAGGTTAAGGTAAGGTGTACATGTTCTGGTTGGTCATAAGTCAATAGATTTGGAACTTTTAAACAATTACAATTGATTTTTTATCATTCATAGTGGAACAAAACGTTGAAGATATGGATTGATATCATTTAGTATAACTTATCATTCATTTCAGGATTATCTTCCTTCCAATAAATCTGCAATTTTAGTAACAGACTTTAAAAGTGCTGAACACCTAGCCAAATTCTTAAAGGAGCTTGACGAAAATGATGAAAAATATAACGAATACTTGAAATTCAAGTATTCCAATTCCATTGACAACCAAAACTTAAAATCTCACATGCAGTATAGAGAATGGGGAGATTTTAGTGCAATTCAAAAGACGCCTAAAAAGTTTTACTCGCACATGAGTGGATTTGACTGTTTTATATGTCGAAAAATTCATGAAATACAAGAGGCTCGCGCCCGAAATGAATCTCCTATTTTGCATATAGCTAATATAGACCATTATGGATGCCCTGCGCCAAGGCGCTTTGATGCAGAGGGCAAATACGGAGTGTACGATGAATGGTTCGCAGAGCCATGGTTTTATTCAAAGTATCTTGCAAAGGCGTTCAGGAAGTACTATGACCGTAACGAATCCAACTTCACACACAACGACTTATTGGCTTTGTCAAAAAGTCTAAGGAAAGAAGACAAAGAATGATATAAATACAAAAATATGATATAAAAATGTGAAACTTTATTATAAAAAGATTAAAAACACATACATGATTAAAACAGTTTTTCGTTTTCGTTTCGTTCAAGCTTCAGTATAGAAAGGGTTTTGTGAGAGCGTAACGGAGAGAAAAACCTTGGCATGCCAAAGATAAAAATGTACATTGCAAGGTACTTTATATTCACTTAAATTGATTCAATATTGTTTGAGCAGCACTTGAGTTGTTTTATAATCAGATGATGTTACAAAGGACTGATTCCTGAGAACGGGGAGTTCTCCTCCTTTTCTCTCTGTTTATGTTGATTCTGACACGAGGCCGAATCGTCTTCTTAAAGACAGTCTTCTGTGGCGCTCTGATCGGTGAAAGCTTAAATATAAAATGGAGGATCAAATATTAAATGAATTTATGTGTATGAGTTAGATCATTAACATCTATGTTCACTCAAATAAGTTAAGATAAAGTGGATTCTATACAAACATACTTGAATTATTTCTGGTAGAGGTGAAGGTCCCGAATCACGTGGTTCCGGTCTTTGAGGAATGGGATACACAATGGAATATCTGTCACATGATGAAATCTTTGGATGTATAGGTAAAACGGGACTTATATCTATAGCGAAAGAAAAAATTCTGTTAGGCATAGTTTATTCAAGATCATTGCACAACAGTAGAAATATATTGTCAATTTTGATATGTATGATTTTATAACCGAACTAGGAGCAGGTGATTAGTCATGCCAGAAACCTTAAAATCTTCAAAATTAATTAAACAATTCTTTTGTACTAATACCTTTAAATCTCCGTCTATCTCGATCAAAAGTTGATTCACAAACTTGTATAAAGAACAGAAAAGAATCTGAAGAAAAAGGAAATTGAACTCAGTTACCTTCGTTTCTATCCGTGTAGCTGAAATGTGGCTGAGAATTGAGCGAATTGGACGGTTCAGGAGAGTTATGGAGACACAGAAGAGGCACATGTTTACTGTTCTCTAGGTGGACAACAATCTTACAGCAGTCGTCTGACATTACATGGTTAATAACAGGGTGGTGCATGTCAATCATAGTCACGTGGAGACCCAAAAGTACGTCCCACAACCTGATGGTTCCATCCTTAGATGCTAGAGACACATAAAACAAATACACATTTAGTATATAAAAAATTTATCGCTAAAGCTTGAAAACAAAAGTTTTCAGTGATGTTTGGATACTACTAAAACAAATTAAATACCCCTCGTCATCAATCGAAAAGCCTCAGTCACAATTCACCAGACAATACGGATGAAAAACGACGAGAGAAAGCGATCTTAAAAACGCATAATAACCACGTGCATTCAATACACATATTAACCATGCAAGCAGTACACAGTCAAATAACCGACTTCACTGTCTGAGTTATGAACGAGTGCCACGTAAAAGGAACGCAAAAGTTTTCAAACAGAATGGTTGAGATTGTTGTTTAGAGAAAGTCTTGTACGCTCCAAGGATTGTTATTGATCATACATGTATATGACAAAAGTTGACCGCTAACGTGTCGCAATATAGCAAACTTGTCAAATGGAAGAAAAGCTTATAAGTTCTACACTTAAATGCATACAAACGCACATGGCTACAGAACTTTCAGCGGTATTAAGTCAGTTTACTCTTTTGAGATAAAGGTCAAAATTGACCACCGGATAAAACTTTCCAAACCTTAAAAGAATTCGCCGAATAAGAAGTGCATGCGATCGGTAAGAAACGAATTCAGAATTTTGCAAAGCGTTTAATGCCAGGAAATCATCTGATAATATGAGACTAAGGCAATATATAGCAAAGTGTTTATAACTTACATGATATTACAAAATGCTCGTTGGAAAGAAAATTTAAGGCTGTTATGCACATTGTGTGACAATTGAGTTTATGGCGATACTCCCCACTGGATACCTCCCATACCATGATACACCCATCGCTGGCTCCTGAAATAACGGCGCTTCCACCGCTGTTAATAGCAACTCTGACAACACTAGTACTGTGTTCTACTAAAACCTAGAAATGTGAACAAAACGTATCATAGAGTCGGTCAAAGTTATTACAGTAAAAATCGGAACTTGCTTTATATTTTCTCTTCAAAATGACATGCTATGATTTCAGCATGTCTATAGATACGATTACTATAGTATGTGGGAAACAAATACTTTGCTATGTAACCATCAGAAAAAAATTGAGTTTAGGAATCAAGTCAAAGCCGTTTCCTTTGTAAGATGTGATTCTACCTTGGTGAGTTTTTGATGTGATCAGAAGGGAGCAGTGATTTGACCAGCGTGATTTGTGATATTACCTGGGTAAGTTTTCCCGTGGTCAGGTCCCAGACCTTACACGATTTGTCTTCAGAACCAGTTACCAGGAATCGGTCTTTTTTATCACAACAGAGGCACGTGATCTTTTCTGTATGACTGACACCAGTAACCAACGTTCCTGTGTCAGTTTTCCAAACTCGTGCACTGTGAGTACCAAGAAGACAATCACAACTTAAGATTGCTTAATTAACAGTACACATTAAAGAAAAGGTTATGGACATCAGGGTTGAGTTTCTTTGTTCTCTCGCTTCATATACCGGTATGCTATTTTAGTTTACCAAAAATATAGAAATTGCTTCATTATGTTCATTTGATCGATGAAGTAGTTTGCAAAACTCCTTTTTCGCCTAAAACGCTGAAAAAGACAACATATGTTTTAGTAGACACTAAACAAGTTAATCTTTAATTTAATTTTGCTTCACTGAATGCATATACTGAAACGCGTCATAGTTACACGTACCATACCCGGTACCATTTAATACAAGAAATTGCAGGATTAAGTTAAAATTGCATGATACGTATAATAAAAAAAAAAAGGTACATCTTTACTCTGATTGACAAAAGCAAGCATTCATGGATCCTATTTCAAGCCAAACAACAATTGAAAATTATCTTTAAAGTCTTGTTCAAAACAATCTTTTGTAGGGCTGTGCAATATTACCGGTATATCGGTATATTGCGGTATTATCCACCACGATAATATATCGCGATATGAAAATCAGATACCGGTATTTCACGATATCTATAAAAAATATATAAAAACCTCCTTTATTGTAGAAACCGCTGAAATAATACTTGTAACTTCCCCAGGCCTTTTCAATCTAGTAAAAAAAATACTTCGTCAGCTTTCAGAGGCAGATAGAGAGAAAAGAGAGAGAGAGAGGGTGAAGCTTTTCATTCACTGTCGCAATTTTAAATATCTTACTTTAAAATAAAATTAATAATTAATAAAAAGACTTTTAAATAAAATTATTAAGAAAGAAAATATATAAAACATTTCTACAGAGTGTATACCATGTGTATTGTGGTTCTCAAAATCTCATGGAATCTACACGATCGACGATGAATGTTAAGTTCAAGATACATATTACAAATCATTCTCTATCCAGAGTTGTCGTTCCCGCTTCTCCCCAGTTGTCGTTCCCGCTTCTCTCCCACATACACCTCTGTCAACGCTTGTTATACAAGTTTCTTGGAAAAATTGTTTTTGATTAAAAGTTGTATTTATAATTGTGTGTAACTATATTTCTTATCGGAAAACATGATTTATTTTAATTTGTTACATCTTAAAGGGATTTTTTGATTAAGATTTTGATTTTTACTCCGCAAAATAGTTCCCTAAAATCTTTGAAAATAAGTCGTTTTGAGTTATTATAGATTTAAAATAAATAATGAATTATCATCTTTATCAATATTTACAATAATTAAATATCATTTAAATTTCGAATCTTCGCTTTTTAAAATTTGTACAAGAATCTTGTACAACGAGCGTTGACAGAGGTGTTGTGAGCGTAGCGGAAGACAACTCTGGATATAGAGAATGATTACAAATAAATGGCCATCCATGTTTTCACTTGATACAGTGTTGCTTTTTATTATTTTTTAACAAGTTTCATGCCATTTTAAACACATTCATGCTTTACCAGGAGCATGTATATTAAAACAATAGAAAAAAGGCCAATGCTGTTCCTGATCGTATGTGTCATAATGTGAAATTAGGTCATAGACAAAAACCACATAGGTCACAGTTTCTGTTTTAATCATTAAGTTACATTTTATGCTATTTCAATAAAACAACCCCCCCACCCACCCCGAAAAAAAAACATATAAAGAATATACTATGCATAAACTTTTTTTTTTCAATTTGAAAATACACCAAATGAGTACATTTTGTTTTTATTTTTTACCTGGTTTTTGATAGAAAGTTATTACTTATGTGTGTGATTAATGTCTTATCCCCCGCCCCCTTTAAATTTTATAGAAAAATTCAAATAGTCTTTGAACTTCACAGCATTTTAAACTTTCTGCACAAGTTTATTAATGATAATTAATCTACAATATATTGCAATATATTGCAATATTCAAACTAAAATATTGCAATATATCGCAATATGGTTTTCACTCGCAATACCCAACTCTAATCTTTTGTTCGAAGCCAATCTTCGCCTAAACATGGAAGAAATATTGCCGACTCGGCATTTAACAATAATGATAAACCACTGAAACCAATCTTCATTTTTTAACGCCAATATGAATGTTCTACTCTGATTTGCACAAAAAATGTTTCTCCAATCAGAGTGTAATGCATGCAAATTTAGCTGCAGCATAATGGAATATGTTTATTAAATCATGAAGCGAATACAAATTGCAGCTAACTACCAGTCCTACTTAAAAGCAAGGCAAGGTTGGACTTTTTATGAGGGGACATAGCAAAAACCACATGCTCTTTATGGCATGAAAATAAGTGTGGGGAAGGTTATTGGATTGCAAATTGGTTATTCATTGTATGATTCGTTTTATTTTATAAAGGCAAACAATCTAACATAAAATCACAATCATAAAATTTCGTTTTCTTTAAATAAAAGCATAGCGAGAAAGGGACGTCATCGCACATTTGGCCTTCAAAACAGCTGTTAAAAAAACTGTCTAAGCGGCATCTTATTTTCGCGAGGTATTTTTTTCCCCACTTTTTTGTATTATAAAACGATAAAAAGTAAGTTAAAAATTTTATATATTGTTAAAAATAATGTAAAAGATACTTATTAAAATATCCCCGATTTTTACATTTTCGCAAACAGGCAGTTTTGCAAACAAATAGTAATTAAATGTAAACTAAAGGTCACAATATTCAAACGATCTCGATGCCTATGCAAGCAAAGTAAATATAAAGGATACTCGTGTGCGTGTCGCGAAATAAAATCAAGGCTGTATCTTTTAAATTTTCTATACCAACACATCTGAAACTTAACTACAATTCTACTAGATAATTAAACCATTAATATTTAAAATAATAGATTATACTAAATAATTAAACCATTAATATTTAAAATAATAGATTATACTAAATAATTAAACCATTAATATTTAAAATAATAGATTTCTATATTTTAACTTGTCGCACCAGTTATCTCCCCTAGCAGTGATGAGTAACTGACAATCTGTTGATAATATGAAGGTAGATGCTTGTCTGTCAAACGTCATCAAAGTCGTGCCTTCATCCGCCCGCCATAAATGAAAGTGTCCAAGGATATCGTAAGACACGATTCTCATATCATCCCCCAGAATCTTCATCTGTCTCACAAAGTTCTCGTGTTTCTGTAGGGAAGATTCAAATAATAGATGCCCTTTATTTTTGCGGTTAAAAACGCAAAATTTTAACAAGGAAAAACAATATTAAATATCACAAGATACCAGGTAGTTCATGTTTTTATACCCGCACTTTCGAAAGAAAGTTCGGGTATATTGTTGTTACTCATGTCCGTCCGTCCGTCCGTCCGTCCGTCCGTCCGTTTTACTCAGCAGCCTAATCATCTTTTGAGAGATGGTTGGTGGTGTCATGTAGATGTGCAGTAAGCTTTCGGAATTTTAATTTTGCCCCGGGGGATCAAATGGGGGTCGAAAAATGACGTTTTTTATACAAAAAGCCCCTTCTTCCCTGAACTCCTTCTACATTTTACTCAGCAGCCTAATCATCTTTTGAGAGATGGTTGGTGGTGTCATGTAGATGTGCAGTAAGGTTTTGGAATTTTGATTTTGCCCCGGGGGGTCAAATGGGGGTCGAAAAATGATGTTTTTTATACAAAAAGCCCCTTCTTCCCTGAACTCCTTCTACATTTTACTCAGCAGCCTAATCATCTTTTGAGAGATGGTTGGTGGTGTCATGTAGATGTGCAGTAAGCTTTCGGAATTTTGATTTTGCCCCAGGGGATCAAATGGGGGTCGAAAAATGACGTTTTTTATACAAAAAAACCCTTCTTCTCTGAACTTCTTCTATATTTTACTCAGCAGCCTAATCATCTTTTGAGAGATGGTTGGTGGTGTCATGTAGATGTGCAGTAAGGTTTCGGAATTTTGATTTTGCCCCGGGGATCAAATGGGGGTCGAAAAATGACGTTTTTTTTTTATACAAAAAGCCCCTTCTTCTCTGAACTCCTTCTACATTTTACTCAGTAGCCTTATCATATTTTAAGAGATGGTTGGTGGTGTCATGTAGATGTGCAGTAAGGTTTCGGAATTTTCATTTTGCCCGGGGGGTGGGGGGGATGGGGATCAAATCGAGGTAGAATTTTTATATATTTTTTTTTTTTACATATATTTGACATGTTTAATCATCCTGCTTTCAAGAACTTCCCTAATATCTTATGCTGCAATAGCTTTAAACCATGATCATTTAGAAAATGATTGGTTTGTTTTGTGTATGTGTAAAATGGTTTCAAAATTTGAATTTTCATATGGATGGCAAAAAGGGGCTGGAATAATATGGCACCTCCCTAACCCTGGTGGTCATGATTTGTACGAACTTGAATCTACACCTCTTGAGAATATTTCCATATTAATCATGCTCTTGGTGTTCCTGAAAAGAAGAACTTTAAAGATGTGTTTCCTTTTATTCCTAAATAAAACTTTGATCCCTAATTGTGGCCTGACCCTAGCCTGAGGTGATGATTTGAAAAACTAGAAATATGTCTATAGGACATGAATGTCCCGCCAGATGTGTATTACTAATGGTACATTAAACAAGAGGCCCATGGGCCACATCGCTCACCTGAGTACTGAAGCTAAGAAAAAGTAGAAATTGGTTTATAATTGAAAAGTTAAAATCCAAAAGTAATCCCATGATCAATCATGGATTTGCTTTTCTTCAAAGAATTTTCCATATATTTCTATGTAAAACTTTGGTCGGCCATTTTGGCCCCGCCCTACCCCCTGGGGTCATGATTTGTACAAATTTTTGAATCTACACTACCTGAAGATGCTTCCATATAAATATGATGAATTATGGATTTGTCATTCTTGAGAAGAAGATTTTTAAAGAATTTTCCCATAAATTTCTATGTAAAACTTTGGTTGGCCTTTTTGGCCCTGCCCTACCTCCAGGGTCATGATTTGAACAAACTTGAATCTTCACTACCTGAGGATGCTTCCATATAAATTTGATGAATTATGGCTTTGTCATTCTTGAGAAGAAGATTTTTAAAGAATTTTCCCATATATTTCTATGTAAAACTTTGATCAGCCATTTTGGCCCTGCCCTACCCCCGGGGGTCATGATTTGAACAAACTTGAATCTACACTATCTGAGGATGTTACTCCATAAGTTTCATCTTTCCTGGCACAGTGGTTCTTGAGAAGAAGATTTTTAAAGAATTTTCCAATATATTTCTATATAAAACTTTAGTCGGCCATTTTGGCCCTGCCCTACCCCCGGGGGTCATGATTTGAACACATTTGAATATTCACTACCTGAGGATGTTAACCCATAAGTTTCATCTTTCCTGGCATAGTGGTTCTTGAGAAGAAGATTTTTAAAACATGCCACCAAATTTTCATTAATTCCCAATTATCTCTTTTGAATGAGGGCATGGCCCTTCATTTGAAAAAACTTGAATCCCCTTCACCCAAGGATGCTTTGTGGCAAGTTTGGTTGAAATGGCCCAGTGGTTCTTGAGATGTAGTCGAAAATGTGAAAAGTTTACAGACAGCTAGACAGACAGAGGGACGCCCGACAAAATATGATCAGAAAAGCTCACTTGAGCCTTCAGCTCAGGTGAGCTAAAAACTAAAGACTAACATTTGTATTTGTGTATAAAATTTGATGAAAATATCTTAAACAGTTTTTTTTCAGAATTGAAACTAAAATATAAATAAATTGGATATAGATAATAAATTCTCATCAAATTATGTATAAGTGCATGTTAAACATAAAAATGTCTTAAATTATTTCTTAAAAACTAAGCAAAATACATATTAAAGAGGAGGGAGGTCAAGGTCACAGGAATGTGCAAGATGAAGTTTTGATGCAGCTGAATAGCTCTCACTAATACATATTAGCTTATTATATTTGATAAAAATATCTTTAATGATTTAATAAAAGTGAGCTTAACACTTTGTTTTAAGAAAAGAGAAGTCAAAGGAAAGGTTGTGGTCAAAATGTTGTTCTAGCTGAAAAGCTTACATCAGTGTGAATTTACTATTATCAAATGAATTTTGATAAAAATATAATTAATGGTTTATTTGAAACTTAGATAAACACATATTTTAAAAAGTGAGGTCAAGGTCAAAAGAAAATTCAAGGTCAAAATAAGTTAATGCAATAATAGCTCTCATCAGTATGTATTAGCATATGAAGTTTGATTAATATATCTTGAACTGTTTATTCAAAACTGATCTAGTCTAAGACAGTGAGGTCAAGATCACAGGAAATGTCAAGGTAAAAAAGAGTGAAGCATTGTAAAGCTTTAATTGCTTACATCAGTATGTATCATCATGTGAAGTTTCATTACACAACTTTAATCATTATGGTTTCTCTAAAATAAAGCTAAACACTAATTTTAAGAAAAGTTAAGTAAAGGTCAAAGGAAAGTAAAGGTAAACAAGATGTGTTTGTGAAACACTATGCGCCCGGCGGAAACAAAGTTCAAAAAATCTATTTTTAGCATATTGGTCACAGTCAAGGTCACAAGGTCACTGGCCGTGGTGTCATTTGAAAGAACTTAATCAGTGGAGTATGCATCCCAAATATGAAGTCCCTATCTACTATGGTTTAAAAGTTATGGCCAAAAGTGTAAAAAGCTATTTTTAGCATATAGGTCACAGTCAAGGTCATTGACCATGGTGTCATTTGAAAGAATTTAATCAGTGGAGTATGCATCCCAAATATGAAGTTCCTATCTCCTATGGTAAAAAAGTTATGGCAAAAAGTGTAAAAAGCTATTTTTAGCATCTAGGTCACGGTCAAGGTCACAAGGTCATTGACCATAGTGTCATCGGAAAGAACTTAATCAGTGGAGTATGCATCCCAAATATGAGGTTCCTATCTCCTATGGTTCAAAAGTTATGGCAAAAAGTGTAAAAAGCTTTTTTTAGCATATAAGTCACAGTCAAGGTCACAAGATCATTGACCTTGTTGTCAACTGAAAGGGCTTTATTAGAGGAGTATGCATACCAAATATCAAGTCCCTATCTTTTATGGTTAAAAAGTTATGATAAACAGTGGAAAAAGCTATTTTTAGCATATAGGTCACAGTCAAGGTCACAAGGTCATTGACCTTGATGTCATTTGAAAGGACTTTAATAGTGGAGTATGCATACCAAATATGAAGTCTCTATCTCTTATTGTTCAAAAGTTATGGCCAAAGTTAAAGTTGACAACAGACAAACAGATAAACAGACAAACAGACAGGACAAAAACAATATATGCCCGGGATCTATCAAATAAAAAATATTGCCACAGTTGGATAGTTTACATCAGTATATGCATCAGCATATGAACTTTGATAAAATATCTAGAAAGTAATTTCTTTGAGCTCGATGGAAAGACAGATGGAAGGGTGGAGGACGGACATGACAAAAACTGATACATGTATTCCTAATCATGGCGTAGCATAAAAAACTTGAATATACATTATATGAGGATGTTTCCATATCAAGATTATACATGCAAATTCAAAGAATTGTGGTCCTTTGCTTTCTGTGTTTAAGTGAATGGGATGCCATAATTTATGGCAGATTGTGTATCAAATATGCATCCCTATCATATGTCACTTTATGAAAATTAGGTCAAAGGGGGGAAATCATCGCATGCTCGAAATATTTTGTTGCAGGTAAAGTACATGTCAAATATGAAAGACCCATCTCTTTTCAATCAAAAGTTATATATATATAAATATATAATATAATATTTTTGAAAAGTAGGTTAAACTTCTACGTCAAGATCAGAAAGTCAAAAGTCATGATATATTTAGAAAAGTCTTTTCACATGTAATATACATGTATAATTTAAATGCCATATCTTTTCTCTTTCAAAATGATTAATTTAAAATGTTATTTTTTGGAAAATAGGTAAAATTTTGAGGTCAAGGTCTCACTTGGGTTAAAAAATCATAGTACATTTAGAAAGTTTTGTGGTAATGTACATGTGAAATATAAATTTAAAGCCCTATCTCATATTATTCAAAAGTTATGATCAAGGTTAAGGTAGAATGCCACACCAACTTTTTATTTTATAGATCTTTGAGTCTTCCTTTTAAAACAAGGGTTTTAGCATTGAAAGGTCGATATTAGCTCTTAATCATTTTATATGAATTTTTTTGTAT